TTTCGGTTAGTAAATTAGATTTTTAGGGAGTTGATCCTCATATAAATATTTTATGCATGTTACTGCAATGCAGAGCCGTGTTTATTAAAAATGTAGCATCATGTTGCTGGTAAAATATTTTCTGGCTGTAATGAAGTCGCATATTTCAAATATGCATGCTGTGCTTGCTGCCTTGTACATTCAGGGTATCAACTAGTCTACCAGCAATCAGCAAAAAGGAATCCTTAGCCCTGTGCAGTATAAAAGAATTTAAACTGGGGATCTCATCTGTTACCAGCCTCAGCAGAAAAATGATGAGAGCAGCAAATCCACCTTTGCCTCCAAAGCATAGCAGAAACTCTCAGAGGTGGTTTTCCTAAAAGGTGAGATTACAGATTTTAAACTACTCACATACACTTCTGGGTTCCATTTTAATTTCTCTTAGAGCAAAACGTTAAGTTATATTCTAGCAATGCAATAACTAAAACTTTCTTTTTAGAAGAACCGAGTGAGAAATAAGTTGAAAAGAGGCAGGGGTAGGCAGAATTCTAAAATGTCCCCCAAGATCTCCCCAGCTAGCCCCGGGGACCGTATGTATGATGAGGTGGCCTTTCGGTGCATGATGATGCTGTGCCACGTGACAGAAGTGGTTTGGCAGGTGTAATTAGGACTACTGAACAGTTGATTTTGAGCTCATCAAAATGGAGACTATGTGGGGGCCTAATCCCATCACAGAGGCCCTTTAAAAGCAGAGGTGGCTTCTGCTGCTAGCCCAAGGAGTAGGCAGACATCATGTGTGAGAGGGACTTCGCTGGCTTTGACACAGATGGTGCCCATGGCAAGGACCCCAGAGGGGCCTCTAATACTTCCAACAAAGGAGTAATGAGCTTCATAGAGGATTCTTCCCACAACGCCCACACCTTGAATGAGGGCTTGTGAGACACGAAAGAGGGAGACCGGCTAAGCCCACCTACCGAGCCACAGAACATGGAAGGATAAATTAGGGTTGTTTTAAACTGCTAAGATTGCAGTCAGCTGTTACCCGGCAAAAGGACACTAATGTAGAAGGTTTATTTATCTGAAGTGAAAGTGGCTTGGAGAGAGGGGGGTTGGAGCTGGACCCAGCGAGGGGAAAGGATTGGAGAAGAGTCCCTAGTGGAGCACACGGTGGGGGTGAGAGGCTGGGCTGGAGACCGGGTGGTGGGTGTTCTGCCCTGGGAGCGTTCAGAGAACGTGTATTTTGTTTTTTTGTTTGTTTGTTTTTGAAAAAATTTTTAATGTTGATTTATCTTTAAGAGAGAAAGAGAGCATGAGCAAGGATGGAGCAGAGACACTTAACTGACTGAGTCACCCAGGTGTTCCCTTCTTTCTTTTTTAAAGAGAAAAGCCTTGATTTTCTCATGAAGCTGTTGTGTGGCCAGGAAAGAGGCAGATGAACAAAAGCTACGTTGTGCGGCTCATTAAGAATCTCAGTTCACTAAGAAAGGTCTTGGGAGGTGCCCCTTGGATGCCTGAGAGATTTCTGCCGTCTGTCTAGCTGTGGCATTAAATGTCCCTGAGAAGGGACAGACTTGAGGCTCTGCTCTTCCCGGTACACCTCAGTGAGAACTATGGTATTTTACATATAAAACAACAGTATTATAAATACATAGTAAGTAAAATATATAGGAACAGAATAAATCACAAAAGTAAATAACTTAACAAACACTGTGACTGCCCTTGTGGTGAGGCTTCGGCTGGAAGGGGAGGGTAATCTGCTCTTTGTAAGGAATCAGGAAGAGGAAAGGGGTCAGTAGAAAACAGGAGAGGCCATCCGTAAGCATCTCATTTAAGGAGGGATCTTCTATCCCTCCTGTGTCTTTACTACACTTTCTTTTTCTTCATAGCACCTACCACTAGCTGACATTGTGCTACCTATTTGCTTATTTTCATGTTGTGTTTCCGCCACACACTAGCCCTCACCTTGCTGTTAGTCTTGGGTCTCTGTCCCCAGAGGCCTGAGAGTACTTGGCAGTCAACTCTTGAAGGAGAGAGTGAAATGATGAATAAATAAGAACTTAAATGTTCTTCAAAGAAGGAAAAAAGAAAGGGAGGGGGAGAAGGAGGAAGAGAAAGGAAAGACGGAAGGGAGGAAAGGAAAAAGAAGGCAGGGAGAAAGGAAGAAAGAGAGGAAGGAAGAGAAAGAAAGAGAGAGGGGGTAGGAAGAGAATAAAAAAGAAAAAGAAAAAGAAAGAAAGGAGAGAAAAAAACCCGATTGAGGATGGGATGGTCCTTCTACCCACAGTTGTGGACCATCTAAGTCACATATGAGAGTCACCGTTACTCTTAGAAGATGAGCTGCTGGTCATGGGTAACACTGACAACTATTGGACGAATAGCCAGACTGGCTCGAATTCTGTTACTGTCCTCTGTGGGGAGCAGGTGTCCCCTTGGGGATCTGTCCAATTGCTCAGTAGGAGACACTGCCATCCTTGGCTTTCATAAACAGCTTTGTTTCTGGTGGTGACGGATCAACATTGAATACAACACAGAGCATTACTGATGGAGTAGCAATTAATCATGAAGGTGCAGGAGGTTGAAAGCCCTGAAGCACAATCACAAGCTTATGAAGCTGTGGCCATAGGAAAAAAATTAATTGTGCCTGAGCAGATTAAAAGTTTTAATTCACTCTATTTCTATAAGAATAAAACTTCAAACTTGAGCAAAAAAAAGAGACCGAGTACAATATGGTAGGGGCGCCTGGGTGCCTCAGTCGGTTAAGCGTCTGACTTCGGCTCAGGTCATGATCTCATGGTTCGTGAGTTCGAGCCCTGCATCAGGCTCTGTGTCTACAGCTCAGAGCCTGGAGCTGCTTCACATTCTGTGTCTCTCATTCTCTACCCCTCCCCCCACTCATGTTCTGTCTTTCAAAAATGAATAAACGTTAAAAGAATGTTTTTTAAGAGTACAAGACGGTAAAAGAGAGTTAGGCCTGCATCCTGGGAGGGTGCAGGGACCGTTTCTGTGCCGGCATACCCTTCACCATTCAACTAAAACATATATTTTTAAACTATGCATAGTATTTAAAAGTAAAGCACTCTAGAAATAAGATAATGATAACTAAAACAGTAATGACTTTTCTTTTGAGGAAAAGGCTATCATACATTTTTTTAAATATAAAAACAGGAGTTTGAGCCCGGCCTTTTTCCCCAAGAAACCTACATTGACTAATACCAGGAAAGATAGGACGGAGTTCACATACCGCAACAATAAGAAAATGCTGGGTAAGAGGAGACAGGAATTTATGGGAAGGAAAAAGAGCGAGCCGAGAAGTTATCTCCTAGGATCACCAAAGCAGGGGTAGAACAGCTACAGGCTGGGAGTTCATTTAGAAACTGAATTCAGTGCAAAAGGCCCAAAGAAATAACCCATTTGTTGAGTTTCTGGACAAGAAGTGGAGGAGAGAAAACACAGTCCTTTCGTAATAATCACAGATGAGAGATTTGTCCCTGGGATTTGGAACACAGCTAGCCAGAAGGAAAACTGGGGTGAATCTGGTTTAACTAAAGCAAGAAAAAAATGACAAATGAGTCTGGGGAATGCATCAGGATGGAGCTAAGAAACTAGACTCTTGTGTTAGGCTAATTCCAATTTATTCTGACCCCGGGACTTTTAACTTTCCTACTATCTAGAAACAACGGGGGCCTCTGCATTTCCTCAAATGCTGTTGCATTGTTCATTTCACACACAAATATCAAATCATTGTGTTATGCAAGTGCAACTAAGATAATGTCAATTAAATCTGAATTTTTAAAAATTCTATTGCATTTAAATGGGTAGCAGACATGTTATCAGCTGATGTTATTCAGACTAGAGAAGAAGTGAATAGCACAAAGGTAAGAGGATGGAGACGGAAGATCACATCCGAACAACAGAGCACCTTCCTTCCTCCTGCAGCTGAGCTCGCAAACACGATCAACCTAAAGATGATCAACCTAAGCAAAATGGCGATAGCCTGGCACCCGGGCTCCAGCGTAGGGGTGAACAAATGAACGGTGCGCACGCAGGCATGTAGCTGAACTTCCACGTCACCAGGAACGTGGAAGTCAGACCCTCCAGGATTCTCTCTGTTTCTTTTCTGTCACATCTTCTCTCCCTTGCACCTTCTTCCCAGAGGTTCAACTGCCAAATGATACCTAGTCTCACAACTTGAAACCCCCACCGATTCCCAAGGGGAGGATCTGAGCAGACCCTGTGTGGGCCAATCAACTTAAGACGGTGAGATTGCCTAAGAACATGGCATCATTAACTAGAACTACGTATTTACAGTGTGTGTATGTTGGGGAAGCAAAAAGATGAGAAACAGAAGAAAAATGGGGGAAGTATTGATCATGGGATAGTTCTAAAGATAAAGTGTGCTGTTTCTAAAAAGCGGGGGGGGGGGGAGGGGCGGATTTCTAGGCAGACTCAAAAATCTGTCATGTTCCTACTGGCATGTCTTTAGATGCTGGAAGGAAAAATATTTTTATCTTCTAGATATATTCCAGGATAAAAATTGGTGTGTGTGTGTGTGTGTGTGTGTGTGTGTGTGTATACATGTGCAGCACCTCTTTCATTGTAAGACAGATCATTTGGTCCAGAAATGGACATTCCTCAGTCTGTGACAATGAATACAGCATCAGTCAGTTCACCAGGTCCTCACCTGGAGAGGTTTCTAGCCTGTATATGCTGGGATCCAATGATGCTCATGGTTTTGCTGATTCCCAGGCCTCTCTAGATTTCACTTGCTGCTATCAGCCGAGAAAAATGTGCAGGGATTTCTACTTCTCCACTTAATTCTTCAGAATCAGGAAAACTCAGAATCAGTCTATGATAAGGGCACAAGGGACATTTGTTGGAAAGTCTGAATAGCAGTGAGGCCAGCAGTTCAAAAGCGCTATTTCCTTTCTCACTCATTATGAACCTGTCACCTGCTAATTTGTCTTTTAAAGCTATCTATATTTCAAGATGACATCGATTCTCAGAATAAAATATAGCACTCGTCATTAAAATGTAATTTATTTTTCTTGAGATATCTCTTTCAAGCCGTAGTTAGACAAGTAATAGCCTCACAGATACTTGATCATCCTCTTATTAAAAAAAAAAAAATCAGCATCTGCATTTTGATACCACAGACCATTCCACCTGTAACATGGTTAAGAGAATTTCCAATTCTCAATTAAAACACAAATAACAAATTATTCTGGGGCTACATGAAGATCTTAGGCCAAAAATACATTAAGGAGTATTTTACTTTAAAGTTAATTTCACATCTAGGGCAGGACCACTGAAAGAGAGGGAGGGGGAGGGAGGAAGGAAGGAAGGAAGAATAGACAGACAGAGAGAGAGAGAAAGGCACCTTTTCAATCTAAATATATAAAATTGAGAAATAATACTAATTTCCATGAATAAAACTTTGATTATCCATAGTTCTCTGGAAATAAGATTTTCTACATACACCCACTTTCTAGATAACAAAGCTAAGCATATGCTATGAATCTTTTTCAACTGTATCATATATTTCCTTGACTTTCTGTCATCAGCTTAGCAACTGGGTTGTCTGAACTGGGTTCCCTGGGATAATAAAGTGGGTAGAGCTGCTGACCCTGTCCTAAATGACTCACCTGAAGTGCTCACAAATGGCTTTGGTTTATAATCTCTCCCTTTGATAGCCATTAAAGAATAAACTCTATCCTCTTACTTTGTTTCTTCTATCTGCTATGCCTTGGGAAAACTGAAGAAACAATCATATTATGCTTATTAAAAGTCAGTTTTTAAAGTCACTGAATGAGGGGATAGAGATATTGCCTATGGAATTAAAACTCAGAGAACGTGTGTCAGTTATCAGCTTGATAGGTATGTTCTGGAGGATTGAATTTGCTGGAAGTCTAATCCTAAACTAAGTGAGATATTCCTGAGTTACTAAATATAGATGGGTGGCTTCTCTTTTCTTTTAATGATGGAAGAGTTCTAGAAGGAATATCCCAAAATTAGAGGCAGAAAAATCTGTGTTCTAAGGATGCATCTAGTTACAGACCTGAGGTCCATAAAGTAAGAGCATGACACAGTGAAGTCCATCATGCTGGCAATGGAGAGATGTGCAGACCTCTATTTCCAGCCCTGGCACCCACTAGTGGTGTGACTCCGGGCAGAAACTTACATTCTCATTGATTTCAAACCCTTTACAAAAAGGGAACAAAAAAGTTCTAAGGTCCTTCCTGTTCCAACAGCCATTTCTCAAACCTGTGAGGCACTGTGGAGGATTGGGTATTACCAAGAGGAATCTTTCCCACCTGTATAGGATACATAAGCCTAGTTGTGATGCTATGAATAATGAAATAATGGCTATTGGCACCTGGTAAAAGGGAAACAAGAACAGAACTTATGAGTCAACTTACAAATTATCAATTCTAGGTAATATACTTAAGCCTCTTAGGTCTAAGTACTTAATTACCCTTTTCAAATTAAGTGCATATGTATACATGTATATACATGTTTCCCAGTCAATAAGAATACCTTTAAAAAGTTCCGGAATCTCAATTAAATTATATCCTTTGGTTGTGCCAATTGAATTGAATTGGCCTATGGATCCTTCTGCTGAGAAACTTGTCATCTGTTTATTTAGTAGTTAACCCTACTTTGGGCATCAAGACTAGGGTTAAGATCTATGGTGGTGATTAAAATATAAAAACTCTTTGGTGAACTTGATCCCAACGGAAGCAGGGACCAGAAAAAAAAATAGGTCTAGGGACTAAGAGTATTGAGGCCAGATCTAGAAATTGTAAATCCAGTTCCTTCAAGAAAGACCTTTCACATGACAAGGGTCCAGCCTAGTACTATGGTGAGGATTCATCTGCATTTCTTCTTGTCAGCTTGATCCAGATGCCATTGGTTGGACGAAGAATCAGCTCTCCTGCCAGACCAAGTTCTTCTCTTTTCTGGTTGGATTCCACCCAAAAATGCCTCAGGATGCAGGAAAGAATGACCTTTTCTTCCATTATGGCAAATCTTTGACCTTCAAGTTAATGAAAATAGCATTACTTTAAATATACATATATCTCAAAGGTGAGAAATCACCACTCTTAGTAGAGGAAGCAAGCAATTTTATACTTTCACAATAAGGAGAATCAGAATTAATTGCGATGTTCGTTAAAAATGAAGATTCTTAAGCCCCCTTCCCTGCCCCGACCCAGTGCAGCCGAAGAGCTGGGGTGGAGCAGGTATCTGTGTTTTAGCAGTAATCCCAGATGAGTTCTAGGATCATCGAAGCATGAGAATCACTAAGAGATGGCTTTCTTATTGGGCCTTGAATTTATTTTACTACAGAGTCACCAAATGTGCTTCAGATTCATCCATTTAAATCTGACCTCAGTTTACTAATGCCTGCATTTACATGGATGATAAAATGCTAGAGACCATAAAGCCCATCTAAATGTGCATAACACATGGCAATATACATTCATTTTGTTTAAGTTCTTCAGCTGTTCACATGGTAAACACTCTTTGCTTCCGTTTTGCAAAATGCCATTCTTAAAAGCAACAAACATAGATATTAGGTTATCTATAACCAACTGTTACAAATAATTTTTCTATCATATAAAATACATTCAACATTGGTCCAAAATCTACATTTTAAAACTCTACCATGAAACTGATTGTGCTTTATCTTATGAACTGAATTACGTACTGCCAAATTTATAGGTTGAAGCCCTAACCCCACCCTGTACCTCAGAATGTTGACTATATTTTCAGATAGGGTATTTACAGAGGTTAATCAACTTAAAATGAGGTCATATGGATGGACCCTAATCCAATCTAATGTTTTTGTACAAAGAAGAGATCAGGATACAACACACACGGGAAAGACCATGGGGAGATACAGGAAGAAGACAACCATCTATAAGTCAAGGTTTAGAATGACCTCTGAAGAAACCAACCCTGTTGATGCTTCAGTTTCAAACTTGTAGCCTCCAGAGTATGAGAAAATAAGTATCTGTTGTTTAAACCACCCGGTGCAGAGCACTTTGTTATGGTGGCCCTAGCAAACAATTATACTTTATGACAATCTTTTTTGAAACAATAATGTATAGTGAAGTGGAGGAAAAAAGAAACCAGTTTTTTTTAAAGGACTATAGCCTAGGAGACACTACATCTCAAAGAAATTATTTTGAGTGACCCACTACCACATGTGCTGGGAAAGATCAAACCAATTCTGATGGATACAAACCTATACAGTTTCTGGGTCCAGCGGAGAAGGGCACATATGCGTATGGGTGGCGTCCTTGCAAATTCTCGGGAAAGAACCGTTCTGGCTGGAATTCCTCAGGATTTGGGAAGTACCTTGGATCTCTATGCAGTGCATAGGGAACGATGATTGCTTGAGTGCCTTTCACAATTTTGTAACCCGCTGTCAATAAGTAGGCGATAGGCCGTAAGAATGGAGCAAGACAGACATTAAAAAACCCTTCTTCCCTACTATCCTAATCATAGAGTTCTTACCAACTTCACAATTTTCAGTAAGATTACGGGCAAATAAAGGAACAGAAGGAAAAAGGCGAAGGCTCTCCTTAATGACACATTCCAGATATCTAAGTTTCTTCAGGTCTTCTACAGTAGCAGGACGATCAGACTTTCCTGATCAAAGCAAATACAGGAGATGACAATGAAAAAAACTAAATAGGCTTGCGGAATGGGACATCAATGAGGAATTAATCAAAACACTGAATATTATATACCTACAGCCAAAGTAGGATTTCTAATATTATACATAATCAAAATAAAATTAGACAATGTGCCAAGGGAAAGAAACAAGACATAAAAGGTCATGTACCATATGATTCCATTTGTAGGAAGGGCTCAGAACAAGTATATCCACAGAGACAGAGCAAATTAGTGGCTGCCAGGGGTTGGAGGAAGAGGGAATGGGGTTTGGCTGATTAATGGTACAGGGTTTCCTTTTGGGGTGCTGAACATGTTTTGGAATTAGAGTAACAATTGTCAAACACTGTGAATGTACCAAATCATATATTTTAAAATGGTTAATTTTGAGTTCTTAGAGCTTCCAGATGTGCACCTTCTCTTGAGTCAGATTCTTGGATTTCCCCACAACATTGCCTGTTGCTCCTTTGTCAAACAAAGAAACTAAGATTGTCTTGCCTCCTGGCCAGAAGAGACATCAACCTCCCTGGACTTACCAAAGAAAGACAGAGAATAGCAAGGATCAACTGTTCAAAATGAGTACAGATGGACTTAAGGAACAAGCCAGTGGAGAGATTTTGAAAGCAGAACAGAACTATAACACCACTGACCATGTTTTCAAAGGAAGTTGGAATTGATTGCCAAAATCCCAAATTATGGAGGTAACAACATCTGTCAACCATCCACAGATTTTGTATTACTTGGAGAGGAAGATAAAGAGGCACTGCATTATCTGACCAGAGTTGAAGTGACAGATTCTGAAGATATTAATTCAGATTATAGAATAGATGGTCATTTTGATTAAAAAATCCTTCCTTCAAAAATAAAGTTCTCCCCGAAGGATTTCATCTAGATGAGAGTGTGATCTGTCTTCAAAATCTACTGAAATCAAGTGGGCGTCAGAAAGGATTTGATGAAATGTTCAAATCAAATGGAGAATAAAGCCATAAGAAGATGGAGCATGAGGAATCAGAGAGTTTCTTTCTCTGGTTTACCAGCTATCTTGATGCCGGTACAGAGGAGTTAGGAAGGGACATCCAAGATGACATCTGGCCAAACCAATTACGATACTACTTGGCTCCTGCCATGGATGATGGAGAAGGGGATGCAGGAGGAGGAGAAAGAGAACATACTAATGAAGAATAGAATGAGGCTGAAGCCTAAGATGATGAGGATGATGGATGGAAAACTGATGGATTCCAATCTCCTGTCTTAATTCTCCAGCCCCCTTGTACTCAGCCATGCTGTTCTTGAAGTCTCTTTCCTCTCCTTTACACCATGATTCTCAACTTACTTGGAGGGGGTGGGGAGCAACACCTTGAACACAATACACTGGGGAGAAAAACTCTACCATTTTCTGTTCCAAATTCATTTTTACCCTTTTCTGCCTCAACCAACACTTCATATAAACATGTGGGTAAAAAAGAAAAGCTCTAGGCTCTCTTCGCTCTGCTGGAAGCTGATGGATTCCTGGTCCCTGTGTGGTAGTGCCTAGAATTCTAGCTCTTTTCCTCCATTTCCTCAGCACTGGGCTCAGAGATTACTTTGTGTCTCTACATGACTATGGACACAGTTAGCATTTACCAACATGTATCTGGTTACTTTACTTTCTCTTGGTTTTAATATTTTTTTAATGCATTTCTAGATCAGGGAAGGGTGGGTTTGAGATGTCTGGGTTGGTGGAGTGGGCATCTTGACAACACGGCTTCTCTTTCAGCACGTTTGTGATGTTTAATGGACATCTTTAGAGTTTAACATGACACTTAGGAAATAAAATCCTCTCCTAGTGCCTTGAGCCTTACCACTCCATGGGAGACTTGGCGAGCCTGTTAGACCTTATTTGGGATTGAGATTCTCTATTGAAATTTTCTCCCTGTTTAAAGTTTATTTTTGTTTCACTGGAGGGAAACGATGAAGCTCAGTTTTAAACATGAACAAGACATAAGTGTCTGTTACAATAAAACACACACAGATAAATGGTTAATTTTATGTGTAACAAGAGGAATTTATACTTGCAACTCAATACCCGAAGATTAGTTGCTCACTAAATTTTAGCACTAATAAGCAGGATAGAAGAAAACGTGAGGGGTGATCAGCAGAAAACATGAAAAGCAGGGAATAAACCATCTAATAATAATGGTGCTTTAATTATGCGAGATCAGTAGCAAAAAGTGCGACAGCAATGAACCAGACACTGCAGAGGACACAAAATGTGAATGTATTCCAAAAACACTTGTGACCTTTTGCAAATTTACTCAGCACAAGCAATATGAGAGAATTAAAATCAATACAGAAAAAAATAAAATGGCCATAGAAACATAGCCAAAAAGTTTAGATTGTCTCCATTCTACAAAATAAAGTCTTCCTTCTTGAGATGTCCAGTTGTCACACAATCTGAACTCAAAACTACGTGTCCAACCTCATCTCTCAATACATTGTACCATATGTTTTAAATGCTAGCTGTCCCTCACTATTCACTACTGTCCTCCAAACTTTTCTATTTCTGTGCCACTGTCCTCTCCCTCTCCTGCTTTTTGCCTTCCCCACTTCTCTTCTCTATGAAACTGTGTAAGATACCACTTTGCTGGCTGGCTGACCCAATCTTTCATTTTCTCCTCCCAGCTATGCGAGCCATGTGATGTGTAATTCAACAAAGGATAAAGCCAATGGCACAATGCATAGCGCCTGTGTGGTCATCTGGCAATGGCTCCTATGTATGTCGAGGGCTAATCCCTGGAACCTATAAATATTACCTTATTTGGGAAAAGATGCCTTTATAGATTTGATTCAGTTAATGATATAAAAATGGGTAGATTATCCTGGATTATTCATCTGGGCTCCGAATGCTAGCACAAATGTCTTTTTAAGAGAGGATGAGAGAGTTCACACACACACACACACACACACACACACACACACACACACACGAGAAGGTGGTATGAAAATAGAGGCAGAGATTTGAGTGATGTGGCTATAAACGAAGGGATATGCTGGTGGCCGCCAGAAGTGGGAAGGAACAGATGCTCCCCTAGGGCTTCCAGGAAGGATATTAGCCCCACCAACACCTTGACTTAGGCTCGGCCATACAGATCTTGGAGTTCGGGTGTTCAGAACTATGAAGAAAAATTGCTGTTGTTTTAAGCCACCTAGCTTGTAGAGTTTATTAGAGCAGGCACAGGAAACTAGCGTGTCCTTCTTCCCCACCTCCCCTTCCTTTTTGTCTTGAAGATACACACAAGACCTGGAATAATAATCAAAGAAACAAAAGCCATGATGGCGAAGAACAGAGAGAAAAAGCAAGACTGGGAGCCTGATGACACCCCCATTGACGTCAGCCTAGGACTCGTCACCTGCAGATTGCTGGTTGTGTAACAGAAATGATGCCGTCTCAGCTTAACCCAACTTTCCTCTCATTTGTGGCCAGACCCAATCCTGTAGGAAACAGGTCTCCTGGATTTTCTCTCTCTAACATCACCTGCTCCTCGCTGCTCCAAAACAGCTCCTTCTTCCTATCACTCAGGTGCACAGCCAGGACTCGATATGTTATGCACAACGGCTGGTTCGTCTACAAAGCAGCGAGGTCCTTGGAGACAGTAGCACTTGTCTGTGCACTCCGAGCATCTAGCCCAGTGTGGTCACATGCCAGGCAGTTGACCAATGCCTATAAGTGAACAGGGGAGGCCTTGCAAAGGAGACGGTACTGGAAGGGATGCTATGAGGGAGCCTTCCTGCTTATTACACTGTCTTTACAACAGGTCCTAGAGCACATCCTTCATGAGCACGAATGGCATCTGTTTTGCTGGACGTGGGACGTAGAGAGCAGCTAATGTTGGGGCCAAACATACCAAACACTTCCTCCAGTTCACTGTCCACTTGTTTCTGGACTTCTGGGTAAGAGCCCAATAGATACAAGGACCAGTTTATTGCTGCTGCAGTCGTATCATGGCCCTACAAAGGGGAGAAGAAACATGGCTTCAAGAACAGAGTTGTATTGAGAAGATTAGGCAGGGTGACTCCATCTTGGATTGGATCTGACAGCTGCAGTGTGACTCCAGAACATAACAAATTCACCCCATACAGCACCTCACCTTGGTGACAAACACACATATAAAACAATTCCTTCAAGGTGGAGGTTCATGCTTGGACAGGCATTTCATCGTGACATGGAACAGTCTACTTGGTGAGAAGTGGCTCGACTGTGCCGATAAGGGAGCATTCCAAAGAGCGGGGTATGCCAGACAATTTAAAAGGGGGGAAAGTCTGGCTTTTCTGAGCCGACGTGCCACATCTGTACTTCTCCACTGTCCCTATTTGAAAGGTAGGCTTTACCCACTGATGCTGGACACCAGGGAGCACATAGGCAGTTGCAAGTAATATTCTCCAGAGCAAGAAGTTGGTAAAGAGTTTCATTTAATTTTACCAAGTTCTAGGCAAAACACTAAGCACTTTCCAGAAACTAGGGTAATTATTCTTCCCAAGAACTTCACCAAATACTTAATACTATAATTCACATTTTAGAGATCAAATACCGTGACACAACTTCCTATTTCATTTTGTCTGCTCCCCAGAGCAGAGCAAAGCACAGAATTCACAGGAGCGCACTGCTGGGATAGGGCTGGGGTAAAAACCTTCAGCCCACTTCTGGCTCCCAGGCAGTGAAAGGCATGGCCCCCACAGCCTGCACCCACATCACGGAGGCGGTCACGTTAGGTCACAACGTGATAGTTTGTGGTTTGCCTCCCATTTGATGCCATGAAGAAAAAAACCTTAGAATTTCAAAAATTGTTAAAACTGGAAGAGATCGTTGATCTGGCTGTTTTCATGAAGGGGAGAGGTCCCTGGTGGAGGGAGGTTTGTATGCCCCATAAATGCACATATGTGTAGGTGCAGGATGACAGGACATGCGTGTGCACCCGTGTTTATGTGTGTGCAGCCACGTGCACTCGTGTGTGTATGTGTGCACGTGCGGGCACTCGTTCGTGTGCCTACAGGGCGGAGAAGTGAGAAGGTCTCTCCACTTCAACATCAAATAATAATAGCCAAGATCTGCTGTATGCTTCCTGGGCACACTTTCTGGTACACTTGAAAAAAATCACGAATCTAATCTGCAAGGCCCCTGCTCTAACAACGAGAACACTGAGGCCCAGGAAGCCTCTATGAGGCGCCGAGGTTATACCTCAAGGACAGATTATGGCTGGGCCGTGGCCCCAGAGCCTACATGCTTAACACCTCTGCTTTTTAGCTCAGTGGGTGTTGATTTTCCACAGAAAATTCCTTTTCAGTAAAGTGCTCTGTTTCAAAAAACAAGTTTAAAATCACCGCCTTAGCCCATCTCTCTGCTGTACACATAGGAAAGCAACAACAGAGACTGGGGAAGATGGGAGGCATCTCATAGGGCCAGTGAGCACAGAGCCAGAGAAGAGCTCAAGTCTACAGAGGCTTAACACCATCTGCTTTCAGCTACAGGATGCAGACCCACCTCTCTGGGGAAGAAAGGATGGATGCGCTCCAACATCACACCTAGAGGGCTGTAGGCAGCAGCTAACATAACAGTGACCATGTGCTGAGCCACTGAAAATGGTGGATGTTTCCAGATGGCCAACAGACACATGAAACGATGCTCAGCATCGCTCCTCATCAGGGAAATACACATCAAAACCACACTGAGATACCACTTCACACCAGTCAGAGTGGCTAAAATGAGCAAATCAGAGAACTCTAGATGCTGGCGAGGATGTGGAGAAACGGGCACCCTCCTACACTGTTAGTGGGAATGGAAACGGGTACAGCCCCTCTGGAAAACAGTGTGGAGGTTCCTCAAAAAATTAACAATAGAACTCCCCTATGACCCAGCAATAGCACTGCTAGGAATTTACCCAAGGGATACAGAAATGCTGATGCATAGGAGCCCATGTACCCCAATGTTCATAGCAGCACTCTCCACAATAGCTAAAACATGGAAAGAGCCTAAGTGTCCATCAACAGATGAATGGATCTAGAAGATGTGGTTTATCTATACCATGGAATACTCCATGGCAATGAGAAAGAATGAAATCTGGCCATGTGTAGCCACATGGATGGACCTTGAGGGTCTTATGCTGAGCGAAATAAGTCAGGCAGAGAAGGACAAATATCATATGTTTGCACGTATAGGAGGATTAGGAGGAACTTGACGGAGGAACAAGGGGGAGAAGAAGGGGGGAAATGGTGGGGGAAAGGGAGAGAGGCAAACCATGAGAGACTCTTGAATGCTGACAAAAACTGAAGGACTGATGGGGGGGGGGGGGGGGGGGGGGGGATGGGCGTGGAGGAGGGCACTTGTGGGGATGAGCACTGAGTGTTATGTAGAAACTAATTTGACAATAAACCATTTGTAAAAAAAAAAAAAAAAGAAAATGGTGGATGTCTTTGGTCTCCTCCACTTCCAATATATTACCATGTGGTGCTTATAAAAACCATTTATCTAGCTCTATTTGGCAATCCATATATTGAGAGACTCACTCCATGTGATATTTAATAGTTTGTTAGAATTCTCTTTGTAAAAGCTCCATTTTTTACTATTACTGTTATTACTGGAAGACCAGAAATCTTTTTTTAGAATCACAAACTGGTTAAATTATCCATTGGACGGCTCTTGTTCTCTTCCTTAGGGAGGGCAGCAGCTAAGGACTCACTGGGAGAGGCAGGAAGCAAACAGCCTTCTTTCAAAGGAAGGAGTGAAGACACGGACTAGTGGGTTTCAGAGATTAAAAGAAGGCGTGAAGCAATATAGAGAACACAGCAATTTCTGGCTGGTCTTCTTGGAAAATTCTGACAGACCTTAGGTTTTCTTGAGGGGAAAAAAAATGCATCTATGCTGTACTCAGCATGAATCAAATGTTTTTCTGAACATGGAAGTTGATCTGATACTTAATTAGGTTCTTAACTTGGGTAAATTTTAATGCTAATCTGATGACTGTTTCTTAGCTATATTAAGCTACTTTAAAATTACATTACACTTTCAAAACTAATGTTATAGATTCTAAAAACTAATTGGAAATTTAACGATACCTGAAAATAACACGATATAAAATACCTCAAACATGAAAGTGTCAACTTCTTCTCGAATCTCTTCATGACTTAGCTTGTTCCCTTCATCATCAGTCACATTTAAAAGCAAGTCAAGGAAAGCCTTGCGTTTATTTTTGGAGGGGGAGGAGTCCTCATCACCACTTCTGTGTTCTTCATTTCTCTTCAGCTCCTTGGCCCGTTCAGAGATGACCTAGGATTTAAACCATCATACGCTTGGGTTTGGAATTTGTTATAACCTAACAATATGCCTTCCTATGAAAATATCCTACCTTCTTTGGGGCACCTGGGTGGCTCAGTCACTTAAGCATCCAGCTTCAGCTCAGGTCATGATCTCACCTTTGTGAGTTCGAGCCCACTGTCGGTTCTGTGCTGACAGCTCAGAGCCTGAAGCCTGCTTCAGATTCTGTGTCTCCCTCTCTCTCTGCCCCTCACCTGCCTGTGCTCTGTCTCTCTCTCTCTCAATAAATATAAAAAAATTCTTTAAAAATATCCTAGCTTTTTTAACCAATTTTTTCTAAACCTTTCCTATCCTTTCTATCTCAATAATAACTTACACTCTTGTAAAAATATAGTCAAGCTTAACATCTTATGGCATTTTATCTCTCAGCCTAGAGATCTGAATGAGCCATTGAGAAAAAAGCATAGGCGCTAGAGAAAATTCAGTCATTGTATACTAGACTAATTGCACATCACTGTAATTACATGCTGTAATGAAGGACAGAAATGGCAGGTTGATGGGTAAGTTCTCCTGTTTGCTTGCTGTTCCTCTGGCTAGACTGCTCCCTCCTCAGCATGGCTGGCTCCCTCCTTTCATTCAAGTCTCTGCTTATAGTCGCACGATCAGAAAGACCTTCCCTGATCACTGCTATGCCAGTCCCTACGCACTATCTTCCTAACCGTTCATTACGTCTTCTCATTTCCTTTGCCATCTGGAATTATGTTATACTTGCTATTTAGTGCCTTTCACTTCTAATTCAAATGTATGACCATGTGGCAGCAAACTTGTCTTTGCTCATTGATATCTTTCCAACCTCTAGAACACTGCCTGGCATTTTAAGAACACTCATTATTTGTTGAACGAATGAAAGCATTAAAGCCCACAAACTTCATTTGGCTACACACTTCAACTTTTTTCTCCCATCAGGCGATTGACCAAACCTGCTACTAAGTAGTTTGAAAGAACAGATCCTAAGTTCTTGGAAGGCAAGCCTTCTTGATTGAACCCTAGTGCCTGGCATTCAGGATATAATTTTCAATATTAATCAAATGAATAATATTGTTCCTCCAATTAGGAATTCATTAAATATTGATACTGATATTAATGCATGACAGCTGAGGAAAAACTCAAGTGTGCCTATAAAATACAAACTGTTGGCCAGCCCCCTCGCCCTGGTGATTGCCCTGTATTCATCTTTGACACAGACTGACATCTTAATCCAAAACAACATCACTTTGTAATTTTTGAATTGGAAACAGGAATATCCAGTTAATTTTAACCTTTTCTAAATTGAAATACTACTATAAAGGTTCGTTGCCTTTGAAAACTACTGTCTAATACAAACATCTTCCAGAGACTCTTATAATACTCATATCTAGGTTCTTTTAACATAGCACCCTGTTTGCTCATAAATATTCATAGTTCATATCTCATTTTGCCATTTTAATAGATAACCTCTCTTACTGAACTAACCTATCTTAGAGTAGGAAACCTACATGTCAAACTCATTACTATGTCTCTTACACGTGGCAAATTGGAACTTAGCAACTGTTTAATTAATATTTACTAAATACATAACTGAAGTGTAATCATGTTGCCTTTTTTTCCATTATTCAATTCGAATATTATGAGACACAGCCTCCATGATTTTACACTGGGTATATTAACAAAACACAAAAATCTAGGACTTAGGAAAGTCCTGCAGGGCGCCTGGGTGGCTCAGTCGGTTAAGTGACCGACTTCAGCTCAGGTCATGATCTCATGGATCCTGGGTTTGAGCCCCGGGTCAGGCTCTGAGCTGTCAGCACAGAGCCTGCTTCGGATTCTGTGTCTCCCTCTCTCTCTCTCTCTCTCTCTCTCTCTCTGCCCCTCCCCCTCTCATGCTCTGTTTCTTTCTTTCTCTCTCTCTCTCTCTCTCTCAAATAAATAAGCATTAAAAAAATTGTTTTAAGTCCTAGAAATGGGTAGTAGTGATGGTTGCATAGCATTGTGAATGTACTTAAAGCCTCCAAATTGGACACTGAAAATGGCCATAAGGGCAAAGTGTTCTCTTGTGTATATTCTACCACACTAAAAACATGAATTAGGGGCGCCTGGGTGGCTTAGTCGGTTAAGCGTCCGACTTTCGCTTAGGTCATGATCTCGCGGTTCGTGGGTTCGAGCCCCGCGTCGGGCTCTGTGCTGACTGCCAGCTCAGAGCCTGGAGCCTGTTTCGGTCTGTGACTCCCTCTCTCTCTGACTCTCCCCTGCTCACGCTGTCTCTCTCTCCTAGAAATAAATAAAACATTAAAAAAAAAATGCTCCGAGAGGAGTGAGGATGCTACGCCCAAAAAAAAATAAAAAAATAAATAAAAACTAAAAACGTGAATTAAAGACTTACAGTATTGGTAAAATTATGTAGGATTTTTAGGTTCCTTCTGTGTTCCCATCCTGCTTTATGCATAAGAAACAAAAAGTCAAGCCAGAGCCAAGGCATCTTCATTCTTCGATGTACCAAATCACTCATCCTGTAAATAGGATAAAAATACGTTAACTGACACCCTGGAAATGTGTATTTCCTTAGCACCTATTCAATGCCTGCTCTTAATGGGGAAAACATATGGGAATGAGGATGACTTCTCTGAAAGGCTACGAAGAGCTCTGTCCTTTATGCTCAACAATGAATGCATGGGCTTTTACATACCCAATGAAGCTTAAAACTTTAATGGTTTCATTAGCAGAAGGAAGAATTTGTCATAAAACATCTGTATCAGGTGGCCATCTGATGTCTGCTCCTGTCTCTCCAGAAAGAGTTCCTGACCTCCCAGGGCCACTGTGGCTTCTGGATAACACAGTAGGATGAAATCTGCCTCTTTTTAGTATCTACTCATTTGCTTCATCACTCCTCCGGAGTGACAGATAACAACTGGCTGTCCCCTTCCGCAGAGAAATGCTCACCGAATACCCATGTGTCACACAGCTGTCCTGAGTACCTCCCTGGTCATTTCCAGCGAGACAGCAGCCAGGCCCCTGCATCATCTCCGCCTTCAAGACTGGCTTAGACACCAATTCTTCAGAGAGGCTTTTCCTGACCTCTCATCCGTAGGACATATCCTTGTTTACCTTGCTAATGTCAACTTGATCTTTTCTTTCTAAGCAATTATTAGAATTTATGTTTACATTTATCCCTTTCAATGCGTGTCTCCCTGCTATTCTTCCTGCTGTGCAGTGATAAAACTAGTCAGCGCCTCGTGCAGTGAATGGCAGGTTATAGATGCTCAGGAAGCGTTTATTAAAATAAAGTGAAATGAGCAGTGAACTTAAAGATAGGATATGTCAAATCCTGGCCCTGACTCTTTTAGTTTTAATTTTATTTATTTATTTATTTATTTATTTATTTATTTATTTATTTTTGATTCATATCCAAGTTAGTTAGCATATAGTGCAAGAATGATTTCAGGAGTAGACTCCTTAATGCCTCCTACACATTTAGCCCATCCCCCCTCCCAAAACCCCTCCAGTAACCCTCTGTTTGTTCTCCATATTTAAGAGTCTCTTACGTTTTGTCCCACCACCCCCCGCTTTTATAATATTTTTGCTTCCCTTCCCTTATGTTCATCTGTTTTATATCTTAAAAATCCTCACAGTAGTCAAGTCATATATTTGTCTTTCTCTGACTAATTTCTCTTAGCATAATACCCTCTAGATCCATCCACGTAGTTGCAAACGGCAAGATTTCATTCTTTTTGATTGCTGAGTAATACTCCATTGTATATATAAATCACATTTTCTTTTTCCATTCATCAATCAATGGACATTTGGGCTCATTCTATACTTTAGTTATTGTTGATAGTGCTTCTATAAACACTGGGGTGCATGGGCTCCTTCAAAACAGCGTACCTGTATCCCTTGGATAAACAACTAGTAGTGCAATTGCCAGGGTGTAGGGTAGTTTTATTTTTAATTTTTTGAGGAACCTCCATACTGTTTTCCAGAGTGACTGCACCAGTTAGCATTCCCACCAGCAGCACAAAAGAGATTCTCTTTCTCTGCATCCTTGCCAACACCTGTTATTGCCTGAGTTGATAATTTTAGCCATTCTGACAGGTGTGAGGTGGCATCTGATTATGGTTTTGATTTGTATTTCCCTGATGATGAGTGATGTTGAACATTTTTCATGTGTCAGTTGCTTGCCCTGACTCTTAATAGCTGAATAACTTCAAGCCATTTTTAAAGTAAAACTGATTCTTGCAGTTAAAAAATAATATTCAGAGCAGAAAATATGGGAAATGAGAATGAAGAACAAAAGCAAAAGACAATAAGAAAAAGAGATGTGCATATAGAAACCAGTAATAATCACTGCTAATATTCTGGTATAGCGCCTTCCAGTTTTTCTTTCTAGAAATCATGTTTTTCAAATGTTTACTTATTTATTTTGAGAGAGAAAGTGAGCATATGGGGGAGGGGCAGAGAGAGTGAATCCCAAACAGACTCTGCTCTGTCAGTGCAGAGCCTGATACAAGGCTTGAACTCACAAACTTGAGATCATGACTTGAGCTGAAATCAAGAGTTGGACACTTAACTGACTGAGCCACCCAGGTACCCTTCTTCCTATAAATAATTCTTCATGCCTGGTGGCTATCATACTAAAAAATTATTTTGCCTTTATCACTTAGTATCATAATGTAATCTCTCAACATGTTATAAAATAATCCTTTTAAATTACAGCATCTGTAATCATCATTTACAAAACTGTTCCTCCACTAGTAAAATACATGCTTCAATGACTGGGTTAATTTTAGTATAAAGTTTCATTTTGAAACAAGGAGACAGATACTCACAAATTATTAGCAATAATTTTTAAAGCCCTCAGAACCATTTTAAAGACAATCCAAGGGGCGCCTGGGTGGCTTAGTCGGTTAAGCGTCCGACTTTCGCTTAGGTCATGATCTCGCGGTTCGTGGGTTCGAGCCCCGCGTCGGGCTCTGTGCTGACTGCCAGCTCGGAGCCTGGAGCCTGTTTCAGTCTGTGACTCCCCCTCTCTCTGACCCTCCCCTGCTCACGCTGTCTCTCTCTGTCTCTCCTAGAAAAAAAAAAAAAAAAAAAAGGACAATCCAAAGGACGTCATTTACCTGTAAACTGCCTGCACGTACTCAGAATCACCATTACTTTGAGCACCAATGTTCTTCCCCATCGCCGTTTCTGTAATACAGAGGCAAGAAGCAACCATTCAATTCAAGCACCTATCCTGTGTTCGTTTTCCAGGGACCGACACTTAAAAAAAGGACACAGGTCCTGTTCAGTTCTTAGAGGTTTTGAAATTGCTCTTTCCCCCTTTTTTCTTCTATCATCTACTTCCTGTCCCTGCTGCGTCTTCCTTCCCCCTGACCTTCCTGGCACGTTGGCTCTGTGACTCTCCTGCCCAAAGCCTTAGCAGGGACAACGGGACCACCCCAAAGAAATCCAATAGCCTTTCCGATCCCCTCCTTTGCCTTCCCACTGGAATGTTAGTTTCTGTGTGGGCCATGCTATCTTAACACCATAACTTTAGAAACAAATCAATGAGACTTACCACAAATTATATCTAAGGCACAAAGAGTGATGTAAAAAAAGCAGTTAAATGCTTCTTGGTTAACATGTTTTTCAAGCTTATTAACCAATATATTTGCTTGTTCATTCATGACATCTAAGAAATCTTCCAGAATTGTAAAATGGAAAGTGGGCGTTAACAATTTTCTCCTAGATCGCCATTTGTTTCCAGTACTAGAAATACAATACATGGTTACAGATAAAAGAGGAGCAAGAGCGGAAACAGAGTGTAAATTTAGCCAAGTCAACAAAATTCTCCTGAAAGAGCTTAATCTACAGGTTTTCAGATGCTTTGGTCAGAAAGACAAAGATTCGTATATAGTTACAGAATGTGGATATTTTAGATCTTTTTCTAAACTTACTAGTATTTAAAAGAGCACTCATGACAGTTGAAAAATTTATAAATTTTTCTAAATTTCTGAGTTTTAAAGTTAGAATACTTTGTCTCCCCGCTGTGAATACCTTAGTCCTCAGATGATCCCGATGGTCTACGGTTCTACTTTGATCTCTACTATCTTCAAATTCTTCACAGACCCCACAGGGTCCTGCCCTCTCTTCATAGGCCTTCTCTCAGAGGAAGGAGTCCTTTCTGGATGCCAGCTCAAGGACTGGGGTTTTGTGCTCCATACACTTAGCTGGGGCTACTGCTTTTTTCACTGGGTTTTCAAGATTTGCCTGATCCAAACTCTCCTTTCCTTTACTCCATCTGTCCACCAGGACCTGATTCTTAGAACACCGGTCATCACCATTACTGAGTACCATGGCTACAGGTTACCATACATGCTGGACTCCTGTTCGTCAGAGCCCACTGTTCTCCAGATCTTTCCTTCCAGCTTTGCCCATACTTCCTGGTAGCATAGTCTTGGGATGGAAAATGACTTTGTGCCAACTCCTGACATAACAAGTTGCCTATGGAAGGAACTGATTCTATGACACAGCTTTATAAAGTGACACTGACATACCTGGTAAGGAGTCCTAGGCCAAGCCATGGTTCGAGGAACTTGTACATATAGGATTTGTCAATTTGCCTTGAACTCGTTAAAATTACCTCGGAAAGAGAAAAAAAATTGAGAGATATATAGACATCAAAGCAATTTCAGCTGTAAGAGTATGTGACTAGAACACTACTACTTTTTTAAAAAAATGTACCATTTTAACTATTTTTTTTTGATGTGTATTTTTGAGAATGCATGTGTGCACACACACATACACGCACACAAACACAAGTGGGGGAGGGGCAGAGAGAGGGAGACAGAGGATTTGAAGTGGGCTCTGTGCTGACAGCAGAGAGCCCAATGCGGGATTCAATCTCACAAAGCATGAGATCATGACCTGAGCCGAAGCCAGATGCTTCGCTAAGCTATCCAGGTGCCCGGAACACTACTTTTTAAAGTAACATCTCATAACTATTATTTCTCTGTGATTCATTTTTATTCCTGTGCCTCTAAAAATGTCAAGTAGAGTGTTTAACAGATAACTGTCATTCAGTCTTGGGGACCAAATGGAGTTGAGAGAAAGGAAAAGGTCTAGGATGATGTCCTGGCTCCTACCACAAACTAGGATCCAAGAGGAGCCATTGACTATGAGTAGGGGGGTGGGAGAGAGGAAGTAGTTGAACCCAAGGACGACCATGTCTAGGAAGATAAAAGTCACAAGTTCATTTGCGGACATGTTGACTTGAAGACATTCAAGTTGCCATGGTCTGAAAGCAGGTATAATGCTCAGGATAAAGACATGAACTAGAAGGTGCATATTTGAGTGTCCCCAGCATGTAAGTAACACTGAAGGCCATGAGTGTGATCAGATCACCTGGAATCCAAGTGAGGTAGAAGGGATGAACATTCAGGTCTGAGCAGGAAATGGTGCCCAGACTCCTGGCTCCAGTTCTGCATTCCGGATAGTTCTCCACCCACACACACCAAACCTGCTCCCACCAAGTCAGCCGTGGCTGAAATCCTATGCCTGTACCCTCATTATCTACTCTAAACCAGGCTGCTACTGTGTGGCACGAGAGAAATCCAACATTGTCACAGCAGTAACTAAGAAAGACATATCCCAGCACTACTGCCTAGGAAATTCTGGGGTTTTTTTTGTTCCACGCAAAGAAGCTGTTTACCCCATTTTTACTCCCTGACCCAAATCCTCATCAATCCACAAGACAATCCAGTGTCATACTAAGTAAAAAGAATAGTAAAAAGTAAAGTAAAAATACTTTTTGAGCAGTAACTTCAATAGTGTGGATTAGTGACATCTGACTTATCAATATCAGATGAGCATTCTTTTTTAAGAAAATCAACTTGGCATAATCAATTTGTAATGGCTAGGAGACTCGGAGTACCTTGAGAGAAACACTCATACTTTATTAGTCTTACATTTTTAGACTCAGAAAATGGTGGCTGGCAGGTAACATGTGCTCACCTTGTGAAATAATCTATTTGTGTTTCTATGAAACTATATCCTCATGTAGACTTTCCAGAAAAGGAGAATATATTGGGCCTGATAGAAGAGATGCACAGATATCTAGAAACTACTACTCACCCCCATATTTAGACTATATTAAAGTCTAATAGTCTAAAGTATTAAATGGCCCCCACATTGCCAAAAATATTTAGGGAAACGCTCAATATACTGAATTCAAACAACATAAGAACATTTTTGCTATCCTTATTTTGATGAGACTCACACCACCAAATACACAGTGGAAACGTGACCCTATTTCCCACACACTCACCTCCACGTTTTCCGCATTATAAATGGCCAAAAGTGGTACTGGCCCAAGCCAGAGTTTTAGCAGTGGAAGATGCCGATATTCTTCCGTGTAACAAATTAGCTGCTGAAAAAATTCTGGGAGAAAATATTTCATTATAAATGAGTTCCTTATGGTGTCTTCTGGGTTTGTTTGTTTGTTTGTTTACTTTGGGCAAGTAACTTAACACTTGCCAGGTCTCTCACATCTTCAAAGTCAACCACACAGTCCCTATTAAAATATATAATGATTGAATTGTGAGGGTAATTTAATTATGAGTAAGATAACGTACAAGAAACGAGTCCCTCCAAAGGGCCCAATCCTTGGTCTCAAGGAGATTATCACGATGGGACACGGTCCCTTTTGTAATACCAGACAAAACAAAATGGTTGCTTAAAGAGGAGCTTAGGTCTGAGGATTTACTGGTCCTCATGGGGACAAAATGTAGTAATAATTATCCTAAAATAGCTAACACCCATCAGGTCATACTCATTTACAGTGGCAAGTTATTACATGTCAGAGCTAGAGGGAGGGTTTTTGATGCATTTTTACGCCTCACCATAGGTAAAGGAAACACACTATTATTACTGTCACAATTGATGAAACTTGCCAAATATCAGAGTTCATAAACGGTAGAACCTGGCTTTGTACTTACTGCAGCAAGACACTACAGTGTGCCATCTTAACCATTACATCAGATTGCTTTGAAATGTCTCCTGGTCTAAATGGTTGTCAAAATTGCTGTGGGGGTGCCTGGGTGGCTTAGTTGGTTAAAGCATCTGACTTTCGCTTAGGTCATGATCTCGCGGTTCGTGGGTTCGAGCCCCCCGTCGGGCTCTGTGCAGACTGCCAGCTCAGAGCCTGGAACCTGTTTCAGTCTGTGACTCCCTTTCTCTCTGACCCTCCCCTGCTCACGCTGTCTCTCTCTCTCTCTCCTAGAAATAAATAAAAAACATTAAAAAAAATTGCTGTGAAAAGAGCTGGGTCAAATCAACAGTGTCAAAATGCCATGTCTCATGATAACTGCCTGCCTCATCTGATCTGATAGAGGAGATGCAAGTCTGAGCCTGTGGTTTGAAGGTATCAGGTGCAATATCAGTGAACAGTTAGGGCAGGCAGGTGTTGACATAATGGACTAAAAACAGCAAGAAATTGGTTTGAAAGGCCAATGAAAAGTCAACAGCAGGACTCCAGGTGGAGATTACTGAGGCTGGAATTTGAACAGTGGCTGCAAAATCAAAAGCACAGCCTCTGCATAAGAGACAAGGTCACTGAGAACAGGGAATGTATCTTAGAATATCCTGACACCAACCACTTTGTTTAGCTCAATGTTGGGCACAAGGGAGAGCCCCGTGTTTGACTAAAGATTAAGGAACTTACCCTAACCAAGCCCTAGACAGTGATCTAGAAATAGCATGCATTGAATTTAATCCTTAAAATAACGGTCATCCAATTAATTTACAAGTTAAGGGCACAAAACTTTAACTTAGAGACTTTCAATACTTGCTTTACCTATCTTGGTACTTCCATGTTAGGTACATATATATTTATAAATGCTGTGTCTTCTTAGTGGATTGACCTCTTTATTATCATGGAATACCCTATTGGTCATTTATTACAGTCTTTATTTTAAACTCTATTTTGTCTCGTTTAAGGGCAGCTCCCCAGTTTTCTTTCGGTTTCCACTTGCATGAAACATCTTTTTCCATCCCTTCGCTTTCAGTCTGTGTGTGCCCTTATGTCTGAAGTGAGTCTCTTGTAGGCAGCATAAAAATGGATCTTTTCTATCCATGCAGCCATACTATATGTTTTGATTGGAGAATTCAGTCTATTTGCATTTCAAGTAATTTTTTAAAATATTTTTATTTATTTCTAGGAGAGAGAGAGAGAGAGAGACAGCATGAGCAGGGGAGGGTCAGAGAGAGAGGGAGTCACAGACTGAAACAGGCTCCAGGCTCTGAGCTGGCAGTCAGCACAGAGCCCGACGCGGGGCTCGAACCCATGAACCACGAGATCATGACCTAAGCGAAAGTCGGATGCTTAACCAACGAAGCCACCCAGGCGCCCGGGATTTCAAGTAATTCTTGATACCGTCATTTTGTTCAATGTTTTCTGGCTGTTACTGTAGTTCATCTCTTGCTCTTTCCCCTTTAGAGAGTTTTAAACAACTCCTCACATTTAAACAACTTGGTTGCAAAGCTGGAAGTGGAGCAAAGCTTTGCCTGATGCCAAAATCCAGTACTTGTTGATGGATTAAAAAATCCCTTTGTAAAAGCCAGTATGTTGTCATTCTTTTCACTTAGAAAGTAACTCCAGGGAGAATAAGTCAGTTTATTTTGAAACAGGTCTCATTCACTAGAGATTTAAATTTTTAGAAAAAATCCCCCAAAGACTATGAGATTTCTTAAGGATATTATTTCTCGTTGGGGGATAAGAGATCTCTATATTTACACAATTCCTCTTAAATACTATCAAGTCTCAGGGTAGAAGGGGAGGTTAACTCTGTTTTTAGTATCAACCAAGATGATTTTTACAAACATAGTTTTCATATATCTAGATGCGGCATTGGATGAGTTGAAACATTAGTCACATTGATGTTTAGTTGGTGAAAAGTTAACTTGGATTTCTTCTGCCAGGAAACATTTTCAGTATTTTTGTAAACACCCCACAACCCCACTCCCGCCCCATGAGGCCTTATCTATTTCTGTGAGGTTGAAATAACAGCATGGCGGCTGGGGGAGGGGGGAGGTAGGGGTGTGGGGGTGGGAGAGGGCAGAGCTAGAAAAGAATTAATACTTCAAGTTTTGGACTTCATGTTCAACTGCTATTTACAATTAATCGAAGGTGAAACTCGATTGTGGTCCTTGGTTCATTTTAGAATCTGTCACTTTGGGCAAATCTTTTCAACTCTGGCTATCCCAATTTACACACCCATAAAAACGGAGTGCTAAGGTCTAATTCACTATCCCTAATGAGTGACTGTAAAACCAGGTACTTACGAGAACTTTCTAACTCACAGTGCTTTTCCCCCTCTCCTCGACAAAACATCAATCAATCCCCTCAAAAAGTTGGTATTAGTTAAAAAAAAAAACTACAAAAAACCAAAACAATTCACTGTTTAATACAGAAGGCTTTTAAAACTTGCTGTGTTGAGTTTTCCAGAGGGCCCTGCTCTCATAGTTTACTGTTATTACCTAACTTCCTTAAAAGAACGAAAATAAGAAGGTCAAGAAGGGTAGAAAGTTGTGGTCAAATCTTGTGATGTGGGGAGGGAGGAAAGCCTCAGATGCATCTCTAGTCCCTGATTTTCCGGAGGGCAGGGGCGGGTGGAGGAGAACACGACTGGTTTCAGGTATTTGCCCTGGTCCAGGGAACTTTCTGCTCTAGGGCTTTCACAGCCAAAGAGAGAAGGCGGCAGTGTTTAGAGATATAGCGACAGCTACGAAGTGGGAAGAGAAGACGCAGAAGGACCGAGCTTACACATACTGCGTTCCAGCCTATACATTAAAAAAAAAAAAAAAAAAAGTTGATGTGAAACAAACGCACGAGCAATTTTATCAGGTGTCATAAGAGCAAACTGGACAGAGCTGGGAATCCACCCTCCAGCGGGTGACGGATTCTTCTTTCCCCGAAGCAGCTTGCTGAGCAGGCGGGCGGGCCGGGACCCGGCTGAGCCCGGGGGCGGGGATGTTGGGAAGCTCCCGCATCCTGCGCCTCCTGCTGGAGGCGGGGGGCTCCGCGCAAGGCCGGGAGCCCACCGGCCCCCGGGTGTCGGTGGGGGCGGCCGAGGGGCGGTCTCTCACCTTTCCCTCCTGGGTTCATCATCAGCGCGTGTCCCACCAAGGGGTAGCAGCCGGGCAACGTGGGCAGGTCCTTCGTCTGCTGCCACTGCCGCGCGTAGCTCGCCAGCATCGGCAGGAGGTTCAGGAGCAGAGCGGCGCCCGCCACCGAGACGGCGCCCAGCGCGCCCCACAACAGCAGGTTCGGCCCCAAGCCCGCCAGCCACAGCGCCAGCATCGCGCGCCGGGCCGCTGCGCCCCGGGACGGACTGGCAGGGCGACAGGCACCAGGTGCTGGGCCAACGCCCGGAGTTCAAGCGCGCCGGTCCCGGGAGGAGCTGCGGCCGCCGGGAACGCCCGCGCGAAGCGGAGAAGCGGTGGCGCCCGGCCCGCTTGCTCCTCCTGCGGCGGCAGACAGGCCCCGTCCGGCGTCGCTCCAGCGGGGACCCGGGGCTTCTCGCTGCAGCGGCCGCGCTGGGCCTCGGCGCGACGCTGGAGCCCCCCAGGCGCCCCACACAGCACCACCCGGGTTATAACCGTGCAGGGCACAAGCCTACGCAAGGCACTCGGGCCTCTGTGTTTGGTCTATGGGAAACCGAAAGACCGGAACACGCCTCCTGGGTTACAGCGAGGGTGGCTGAGTGTTCAGTGACGGCACTGAAATGGGGGAGGAGAATGGGGTGGGATCGCGGGCAGCTGCGTGTGGCCAGGCCGGGCTGGGCTTGGGGGATTCGCCCACGGGAGAACTCCAGCTAGACAGAGCCGCGTGTTTAAACAATGAAAGGAAGAGGCATTTGGTTTGAAATTCAGCCTTTGGGGCTTTTTTTTCCCCTCCCCCTCTGGCCGGGTCTCTAACCTCTTGCTTCCTTGCGCAAAGGGCAGTGCTGCGCCCTGCACCCCGGCTCCTGCATCGCGCAGAGCAGCCGCCTACCTTCATCGGGGGCAGCTGTGGGGCAACGACCTTAGAAGCACCGGTTTCCAGTTTGCATCCAGTGGCTGAATGAGACAAGGGAGAGCTGAGTAAGGTTGCTGTGGTCCAAATATTTTCCAAAATGTATTTGGGACCGTGAAAAGGCCGCACCCAAACGAACAAGGGAGGGAGGAAGGTCAAGGCCTTGGAAAGACATGGGAGTAAGAGAAGCTGAGAAAGACACAGAGGAGTGGGGTGGTTGGTAAGGGAGTTATAGCCATTTCTTCAAGAGGGAATGAAGGTAAATCACTGAGCCTGCAGAAGGAAATTTCAGGAAAGTGACCAGGATACTGGAATCCTGCCCAAGGACTGTGTTCCCTAGCTACCAATTTCCCTCTGGTCTTCAGGCTGAGGTGCCTCAAGCCTGCCTTCGGCTTAAAAATAAAACTGTCAGTTACTCTGCCAGCAAAATGGGTATATTTGGAAATAGCAGAGCTGCAATTTTGAGACACACCAAAGACAACAAGACCATAGGCAAGTCTGGAGAACAAAGAAGAAAAAACTTTTAAGAAATGTTTATTTTTCGAGTGTGAGTGGGGGAGGGGTAGAAAGAGAGGAAAGGACTGAAGATCCGTAGCAGGTTCTGCACCAAAAGAAGGGAACCAGTGTGGGTGTCCAACTCACAAACTTTGAGATGGTGACCTGAGCTGAAGCAGGTCACTCAATGGACTAAGCTGGGGGGGGGGAGGGGCGCAGAGAAACCCCAAACACTCTTTTACACAAGAGAGAGGGAATTGGGAGTGGCTGCTAGAAACTGAAAGTCCATTGGCTAAACTGGGAGTTCAAGATGTATCAGCTTCTCATTGGCTGAGTTATGGCAGTCTCTCATTGGCTGTGCTGTTGCTAGGGGAAGAGAAAAACCTTGGCCCGCCCTCGCCCAAGTACCCGTGTGTTGAGTATGCAATTGAGGAAGAGTGGCAGGGTGTGTGAGCTTTCCCTTCTGGCCTCCGACTCCATTTCAAAGGAGGTTTCCCTTTATTTTTATTTATGTATTATTACTATTATTATTATTTTAAATATTTTTATTTATTTCTAGGAGAGAGAGAGAGAGAGACAGTATGAGCAGGGGAGGGTCAGAGAGAGAGGGAGTCACAGACCGAAACAGGCTCCAGGCTCCGAGCTGGCAGTCAGCACAGAGCCCGACGCGGGGCTCGAACCCAGAACCACGAGATCATGACCTAAGCGAAAGTCGGACGCTTAACCGACTAAGCCACCCAGGCGCCCCTATTATTATTATTTTTTTTTAAGAGAGGGAGATGGAGAGAGAGAATCCTAAGCAGATTCCATGCCCAGGGCAGAGTCCAAGGTGGGGCTCATTCTCACAACTAGAGATGATGACCCGAGCCAAAATCAAGAGTGAGATGATGCTTAACCCACTGAGTCACCCAGGTGCCCTGGCGGTTTCCCTTTACTAACTTACAAAGGGCCCAGACTGGAGTGCCCATCTCCTGGTGGCGGGTCCCTAAGCTATAGGAGAAGTGGCAAGGAAGAAAAGTTGAGAAATGCCCTGATTCCTACTTTGTTTAATTAGATTAGTTTTTGTCTGCAGCTATTGAATATCAGGTTTCACTCAACCATTTACAGGGCCTCTTTGAGGTAGAGAAAAATATTGCCTAGGGCATTTCTCCAACTGCTTTAACGTCATCTGTAACTACCAACATGCAAAGAAGGTTCATGAAATATCACGTAAAAAACTAATAATAAAACAAGTTCTAGAACAGTATGTAATGCCATGTCATGTTTGGGAGAAAAAGTTTCTTTCTCTACAGCTAGACTAATGTCTGGAAAGAAAAATACTGATCAATTCTATGGAGTGAGAATGGAGAACATATTCTTGGTATTTTATTCACTTCTCTATTCTTGGATCACATTAAGACTTTAAGAAAACATATCTAGGGGTGCCTGGGTGGCTCAGTCGGTTAAACATCAGACTTTGGCTCAGTTCATGATCTCACGGTTCGTGGGTTCGAACCTACCTCGGAGCCTGTAGCCTGCTTCAGATTCTGTGTCTCCCTCTCTCTCTGACTCTCCCCTGCTCACGCTCTCTCTCTCTGTCTCTCTCTCTCTCAGAAATAAATAAAAACAGTAAAAATTTTTAAAAATAAACAAAAAATAAAAATAAAATGTATCTAATATCTTTAATATCATTAAATATAGCTAATGATTTTTTATTTTCTCTCTAAAGGACTGAGTCCACATCTCCCACTAGATCCATTCCCTGGCTCCCCTTTACAGAAAAATCCCTCACTACACTGGTTATGCCTTTTCGCTTGAATTTCTCTCCTCATATCCTCTCCTGAGCAGTCAGGCTTCTGCCTTGTCCATTCCACTAACATCAGTCTTGTCAATGTTGCCAATATCTTCCCTGTGGCTAAATCTTTTGAGTTCTTTCTTGGCCCTTATCTAAATTGACCCATCAACATGTTTGGGTCCTTGTCACCTCCTCGGAAAACTCCCCCCCCACCCCCGCACTTGACTTTGGCATTCCACATTCTTTGATTTTTGTTCTCCCTCCACCACTCATTCCTTTCAGTGGGCTTTGCTAGTTTCTCTTCACATCCCGTGCCTCTAGATGTTAAGCCCAGAACTCTTGTTTACCCTGCACCTCTACACTCAGTCTCTTGGTTATCTCATTAGTTTTGACACTTAAATATCATCTATATGTTGACAGTTGCCAAAGGTATCCCTCCTGTCTGTATTTCTTCTCTAAACCCCAGGTGCAGCTCTCCAATGCCTCAACATCCTCACTTAGGCATCTCAAAGGTGACATGTCCCCATGTGCTCCCTAGTGTTAAGCCAAAGAGTAGGAGTCTATCTTGATTCCTTTCCTCCTACTACACAGCCAATGCTACAGCAAATCCTACTGGCTCAAATTTCAAAACATATCCGAAGTCCCTTGACTCCTCAGCAGCCGCACCACTACCATTTGATCTGAACATCCTCTGAGGGCAGGTTACATCACTCTGTGCTCAAAACTCTCCAGTGGCTTCCTATTTTAGATAATTTACAATTTCCAAGGTCAAAAGGGATCATACCCCCTCAGCTCCTATTATTTTACTGATCTCATCTCCTATTATTTACCCCTTGGCTGATTCCATGCCATGTCCCACTGGCCTCTGCTGTTCCTCTAACCTCTAGAGATGCTAGAGGTTTAGGTCTGTGTGTTTTTCCTTCTGTCTAGGATTTTTTTTCACCATATATACATGCCTCTTTTCCCATCTTCAAGTCTGCTCAAATATTACCTCTGCAATAAAGCCTTCCCTATTTTATTTGAAGTTATACCTCTTTCCACTGTTACCTTACCCGGCTATTGCTACCTGACCTTGCATTATGTTTGTATTGATTTGTTTATAATCATTCTTCTCCACTGGAGTCTAAGTTCTATTAGGGCAAGGATTTTGTCTTGTTCAGTCCACTGCGTAGAACAGACTCTTACACAAAGAAGGTGCTTGATGCGTATTGGATGAAATAATAAATTCATGATTATCACAGAAGAATGTCATCTTCTGGGGGGAAATGGTTAAATTAGGACATTCATAAATGAGATAAACCTCTCACAATCATGTGTCATTATGCATTTTTAAATCACTGGCAAAAGTTTGCTTATGCAGTTAAAAATAAATGACTGAATAACCTGTGTATTAGAAACTGTGGAGAGGTACACAAATTATATAAAAATTGGGAATTGAAAGAAACTTTTTGAGTATAATGAATTTTCAAAAGCTCTTTCAATACTTTTATTAAGAAGTATAGTGCTGAGATCAAAAAGAATGAAAACTTGCCATTTGCAACAACATGGATAGAGCTAGAAAGTATTATGCTAAGTGAAATAAGTCAGTTAAAGACAGATACCGTATGATTTCTCTCAAATGTGGAATTTAAGAAACACAACAGATGAACGTAGGGGAAGGGAAGGAAAAATAAAAACAGAGAGGGAGGCAAGCTGTAAGAGGCTCTTAAATACAGAGAACAAACTGAGAGTTGCTGGAGGGAGAGGCTGGTGGGGTGATGGGCTAAATGGGTGATGGGCATTTATTGGAATGAGGACCGGGTGTTATACGAAAGTGATGAACCACTACGTTCTACCCTAAAATCAATACTACGCTATATGTAAACTAACTTGAACTTAAAAATAAATTTTAAAAAATTATAGAGATAAAAATCCTAAATAATGATCTGTAGTCATAAGGAAGCAGTGAAAATAAAAATGTAATACTTACATTTCATGACATTATAAAAATGTACCCATGTACATGTATGCCAATTAACATTGAAATTCTATTCTAGTCAGAATAACATCAGTATGGATACTTCCCTTTGTATTATTTTAAAAAAATTTAATATTTATTTTTAATTAATTCGTTTTTAATTTACATCCCAGTTAGTTAGCATAGAGTGCAACAATGATTTCAGGAATAGATTTCTTTTTTTTTTTTAATATTTTTATTTATTTCTAGGAGAGAGAGAGAGACAGCGTGAGCAGGGGAGGGTCAGAGAGAGAGGGAAACACAGACTCCGAAACAGGCTCCAGGCTCTGAGCTGGCAGTCAGCACAGAGCCCGACGCGGGGCTCGAACCCACGAACCGTGAGATCATGACCTAAGCGAAAGTCGGACGCTTAACCGACTAAGCCACCCAGGCGCCCCAGGAATAGATTGCTTAATGCCCCTTACCCATTTAGTCCATCCCCCCTCCCACAACCCCTCCAGTAACCTCTGTTTGTTCTCCATATTTAAGAGTCTCCTATGCTTTGTCCTTCTCTCTGTTTTTATATTATTTTTGCTTTCCTTCCCTATGTACATGTTTTGTATCTTAAATTCCTCATATGAATGAAGTCATATGGTATGTGTCTCTAATTTCACTTGGCATAATACCCTCTAGTTCCATCCACGTAGTTACAAATCGCAAGATTTCATTCTCTTTGATTGCTGAGTAATACTCCATTGTATATACATACATACCACATCTTCTTTATCCATTCATCCATCGATGGACATTTGGGCTCTTTCCATACTTTGGCTATTGTTGACAGTGCTGCTATAAACATTGGGGTACACGTGTCCCTTCAAAACAGCACACCTATATCGCTTGGATAAATACCTAGTAGTGTAATTGCTGGGTCATAGGATAGTTCTATTTTTAATTTTTTTTGAGGAACGTCCATACTGTTTTCCAGAGAAGCTGCACCAGTTTGCATTCTCACCAGAAGTGCAAAAGAGATCCTCTTTCTATGCATCCTCGCCAACACCCATTATTGCCTGAGTTGTTAATTTTAGCCATTCTGACAAATGTGAGGTGGTATCTCATTGTAGTTTTGATTTGTAGTTCCCTAATGATGAGTGATGCTGAGCAATTTTTTTTGTGTCTGTTAGCCATCTGGATGTCTTCTTTGGAGAAGTGTCTATTCATGTCCTTTGCCCATTTCTTCACTGATTATTTGCTTTTGGGGTGTTGAATTTGACAAGTTCTTTATAGATTTAGGATATTAACCCTTTATCCGATGTCGTTTGCCAATATCTTCTCCCATTCCATCAGCTGCCTTTTAGTTTTGCTGATTGTTTCCTTCACTGTGCAGAAGGTTTTTGTTTTGATGAGCTCCCAATAGTTGATTTTTGCTTTGGTTTCCATTGCCTCCAGAGACATGTTGAGTAAGAAGTTGCTATGGCCAAGGTCAAAGAGGTTTTTGCTTGCTTTCTCCTCTAGGATTTTGATGGCTTCCTGTCTTACGTTTAGATCTTTCATTCATTTTGAGTTTATTTTTGTGTAGGTGTAAGAAAGTGGTCCAGGTGCATTTTTCTGCTGTCCGGTTTTCCCAGCACCATTTGCTGAAGAGACTGTCTTTATTTCACTGGGTATTCTTTCCTGCTTTGTCAAAGATTAGTTGGCCATACGTTTGTGGGTCTATTTCTGAGTTCTCTATTCTGTTCCATTGATCTGTCTGGTTTTGTGCCAATACCATAGTGTCTTGATGATTATAACTTTGTAATACAGCTTGGAGCTCAGGACTGTGATGCCTTCAGCTTTGGTTTTCTTTTTCAAGATTGCTTTGGCTATTCGGGGTCCTTTCTGATTCCATACAAATTTTAGGATTGTTTGTTCTAGCTCTGTGAAGAATGCTGGTGTTAGTTTGATAGGAATTGCATTGAATATGTAGATCGCTTATCTAGCAGTTTTCTATGGTATTTTACGTTTTTATATTATTATTAAATTCCTTCATTCCTTCCTTGGTTTTGGATGAGTTAACAGGCATTTCAATTAACAGTCATTAACCTTCATTTAAAAATTGATCTCAGGAGTGATTCAATTTGCCTTCAATTTTTAACAAAGAAATTCTAAGACGTACTTATCAAGATAGATTATTATGAAAACACCGCCCCAGTTCTGCCCTGATCAGTTCAAAAAGCACCATCCTTGATGTAAGCATCATTTACTAAGCTCTAAATCTCCTTTCACCTATAAATGAAGAGTACAGGTATAAAAATATATGCTATAAGCAGGTCTTTTTAAAGTCAGTGGCCAAGCCATGCCTCTGTTATCTCTAAAATTGTACCTTCTCAGGGCACCTGGGTGGTTCAGTCGGATAACTTCTGACTCTTACTTTTGGCTCACGTTATGTCTCAGAGTTGTGGGACCCAGACCTCTGCCAAGTTCTACACTGACAGTATGGGGCCTGCTTGGGATTCTCTCTCTCCTTTCTCTGTGCCCCTCTCCCACTGATGCTCATTCACATGCTCTCTCAAAATAACTAAGTTTTTGAAATTAAAACATAAATAAAACATAAAATTGTACTTTATCCTCCAACTGAAAATGTTTAGAAGATGGGAATCAAGATTGCTGTACTTGGTTCTATTTTTTAAAGCATTTTTATCAATACATAGATAAATGATAGATTTCCATCTACAAACCTTTGAAGCCACATAGAGTAAACCTACCATAAAGTCTATTGAGCCGTTCTCTAATGTTAGTTTGGAATGCATATCAGTCATTTTCCCTTCTAAGTCTGTGATGATTGGGAAGGAGTTGCATGGTTCCTGGAAATGGATAGGAATTAGCTTGAGCTGTTCTGGAAGAGCAGGGTGTGGATGGAAAGCCTCCAGTTAGCAGGAATTAGGGAGCAGAGAGCACCGGACTAGAGGCCCTTGGAAACAGACACTCCAGACAGCTCCCATGTCCAGGAATTCCTCAACATCTGAGAGCTGCCAAATTAGACTATTTTCTCTTATAAGTGTCTATAGCTGCTGTTGGGGGAGTTTTGAAAATTTTCAAAATGCTTCAGTCTGTTATGTGGGGGAAACTAAGCATTAAAAATATTGCCTAGAGTTATGGAGCTGGGGCCATCCATCTACTCCCCGACATGTTCCACTACTGTATAAAGTGAGTCAGGAGAAATGTAAGGGAGAAACGATCAGAAACATGGCTCTAGTAGCATTTTTGTTCAACCCTCTGTGATCAAGGACAACACTAATTCGACACACTTAATTTCCAGACGTCTCTAAGTAGGCAAAGATCCTCTCTTACAACCAGAAGTATGTCTGAAAATAATTTATTATACATTTAAATGATAGAAGAACAAGTTTCATTGTAGATCAATAAAAATAAATGGATAAAATATAAGTATCTGATAGAAAAAAAAGTTGGTGATTAGAAATCTGAGAATATAAAAGTCTGAACACAAGTCACTATAAAGGAAAATCATGGGGGGGGGGGCAAAGAAAATGACCCCAGGGGCGCCTGGGTGGTTTAGTTGGTTAAGCATCTAACTTTGTTTCAGGACATGATCTCAGGGTTCATGAACTTGAGCCCCGACTTGGATAAAATATGAGCCCTGCTTCTGAGGAGCTCCAGCCCTGCTTTGGGTGAACACAAGCCCCACTTTAGTTAAGAAACAAACCAGGAGCCCCGCTTTGGTTAAGCCCCGCTTCTCTCTCTCCTCCTCCTCCTCCCTCTCTCTCTCTGTCCTTCACTCACTTTCTCCCTCTCTTTCTCTCAAAAAAGAGGGAAGGGAAGGGAAGGGGAGGGAAGGGAAGGGAAGGGAAGGGAAGGGAAGGGAAGGGAAGGGAAGGGAAGGGAAGGCAAGGGAAGGGAAGGCAAGGGAAGGGAAGGGAAGGGAAGGCAAGGGAAGGCAAGGGAAGGCAAGGGAAGGCAAGGCAAGGGAAGGGAAGGGAAGGGCAGGGCCCTAGAGCCTGACCTCCAACTGCTCCCCTCCCCTTGGCAATCCCTATCCCATTTTCTATGCACACCAGATAGGGGCTCGAGCGTGGAAGAAACACAGAGCAGGGCGAGTGGACAGAGGAAAGGGCCACTGCTTTAGACAGAAGGATTGGGGAGGCTTCACAGCAGAGGTGACGCGTGAGCAAAGATGAGACTGTGTTAAACCACGCAGTAGGCTGCTGCAGCGCTTCAGTCCCGTGGACGAACACCTTCACCTGCAGACAGCAAACAGACACCCACACACAGTATGGTTTCCATTCAGCCTTCAAAATCAATACATTTGGAACACTTTTGGATAGACTGCCTGAGTTTGAGCATGAAAACCAGTAAAACGAAACTGGCTTGGGAGACAGCCACCGACACCCCTCAGAGACGCTCCTGACTTCAAGTACTTTTTAGAAAAAGGTGTAAAGGGACACCTGGGCAGCTCAATACGTTAAGCGTCCAAGTTCAGCTCAGGTGATGATCTCATGGTTTATGAGTTCCAGTCCCGCATCGGGTTCTGTGCTGACAGCTCAGAGCCTGGAGCCTGTTTCGGATTCTGTGTCTCCCTGTCCCTCTGCCCCTTCCCCATTCATGCTCTCTCTCTCTCTCTCTCTCTCAAAATTAAACAACATGAAAAACATAATAAAACAAAATAAAATACAAAATAAAAGAACATTTAAAAAATGGTGTAAGAAAGTCATCACGACAACCAGAACAGTCTGAATCTTAGTTAAATGGACATACAGTACCAAAGAGGGTTTTGCTATTTTCTAAAGAAGGGAGTGACATCACTTCAATAGCGTCCAGGATTTTGATGGACTAGTGACAGAATGAGACACAAAACATATGGCAAGACACAAAGTTACAAAATGGCTTATTCCTAGATAATGTCCTCTCATATGTTAGGTAGTGTGTGAATACATGCACTGATAGTGTGTGTGTCTTTATATGTGATTGGTAAGGTGACGGATTATAAACACATATTAGATCAGAATGCTTCCGGTAAAGACGGTCGGTGAATTTGACTTGTCTTCTCTTTACAACGCAAAGGTTCAAAACTAAGTTGTTTATTTGCCTGCATTTCTCTCAGCCGGGCTCACGTCCCACTGTCAGACAAACAGATACATAGTGTAATACTTGTTCTTCTGCTATCCCTGTGATAAATGGCATGCTGGGACTCCAGCTGCTCCCAGCTCCATCAAGATGCCACTTGGAATCTCTTTCTTGAAGTCAGAGTCGTCCTCTGAAAAGATTTAGGTGGATGCTGTGAACCTGAAACACCAACCAAAAAGTAACTCCCATTAACCTGCTTAAAAATTCCAGCTCTCAGAAGGATGGCTTTATACATTCAATGCAGGTGATATATATATTTTTTTTAAGAAAAACAGGGGCGCCTGGGTGGCTTAGTCGGTTAAGCGTCTTGACTTTCACTTAGGTCATGATCTCGCGGTTCGTGGGTTCGAGCCCCGTGTCGGGCTCTGTGCTGACTGCCAGCTCAGAGCCTGGAGCCTGTTTCAGTCTGTGACTCCCTCTCTCTCTGACCCTCCCCTGCTCGTGCTGTCTCTCTCTCTCTCTCTCCTAGAAATAAATAAAACATTAAAAAAAAAAAAAAAGAAAAGAAAAACAAAAAACTTTCATGTTGCTTTTACATAAACAGGGAAATATGTGAAAACTGCCACTGAGGGTCCTGAGAGGAAGGAAGGATGCTGTTCCCCTTCTCCATTTAGCCTAAGTGCTAGCCCTGTGTCCTCCCAGAAGTGGCTGGTGTTGCTAGAACCTTCTACCCTGAGGTGGATCCCAGGAAGCTGAGTGGTGAGCTCCAGTGGCCCTACTACAGCACGGGCGCAGAAGGAATGTCAGCTGCCTTAAGAGACCCTTCCCACTACTGGGGATACCCCTCAGCTTCTCTTCTTTTTCTTCTGCCCCAGAACAAAGGTTGATAAATTAATAGCTCCTGGTGCTTCTTGACCTGGAAGCAAAGCCTGTCAAAGAAAGCTTGTCAGAGAAAAAGAAAAATCCTTGGAAATACAGAAGTCTCTCTCTTATCTACCTCAGTTACTTCTATAGCAATGAGAAAGGCTCCCGGCCATCAGTAGTAATAGTCACAAAATTATCGATAACAGAATAGAGTGGCTTAGTATTGGGGGTAAATTAAATGTGCGGAGGTAAAACAAATTCAGAAATCCAGTTCCCTCTCTGAACCTCTAATCCTGTGCGCCCAATAACCTATTAGACAGCTCCACTTTGCGTCCTGTGGTCAACATCTCCAAAACTAAATTCATCGATATTCTCTGAGCCCCATCTTTCAGCACCACCATCTACCACACATCCACGGACTCACTCTCACAATACCACGTGACGATCATCCTGATTTGGCATGGCCCACCCCCCGCCAGGGAAGCCCCTCCATCCGTTGCCGAGCTGCACATCCAGCTGGCACTTCTGCTCATCTCCTCATGGTCCCTTCCACCTTCCTCACTACGCTGAGTGCTCCCCGGGGCCCAGACTGGTGTTTGCATCCCAGCCCTCAGCTCAGAGTATGACACAGAGTGAGTACCTCATATGCTATTTGTTAATCAACACACTGATGCCTACTTTCCTCCTGACCATTGACAATTAAGAGCAATGCCTGATGAAAGGTAGCATGACTGCCTTTTAGAGAAAGAGCTATGGTCACTGATAATAAGAGCTACCAATGCTAGGGAATATGCAAGAAAAAAACGCAACAGAAAGGCATAGCACCCTAGGGCTATTCGCACAGGAGAAAATCTGTAAAAGGCTAAAGAATCTTTGACATCACAACGCTGTAGAACTACAGAAGGGCTGATATGAACAGTGATAAACTTAGTGTGTTGTCACAATGCTTCATTTTTACTAGACTTATTTTTAAATTATAGCACTTGCCTTAAAACAGCACATTACCCTTTACGTTTCACATTATCTATAATACAAATGATGCCTAATTTTTGAACAAACAACATATGCCTGGAATCTAGTGAGGTCTTTTCTATACATTTTCCCCAATGACTGTTTGATCAACACAGCCTATTATAAGAGAGGAAACTGAGGGGCGCCTGGGTGGCTCAGTCGGTTGAACGTCCGACTTAGGCTCAGGTCATGATCTCACGGTGTATGGGTTCGAGCCCCATGTCTGGCTCTGTGCTGACAGCTCAGAGCCTGGAGCCTGCTTCCGATTTTGTGTGTCCTTCTCTCTCTGCCCCTCCCCTGCTCATGATCTGTCTCGCTCTGTCTCTTAAAAATAAATAAATGTTAAAAAATTTTAAAAAAAATAAGAGAGGAAACTGAGGCCCAGGGAGGTTGAGGCTCTCCCAAGAGAGCTCAGGAAGTAGGATGGAAAGCTGGCACTTGATTCCTGAGTGGCACGATGCAGGACAGTATGATGCTCCTTAAACAAAACTACCGGTAACAGTTTTGAAAATTAAAATATCACGGGCCTGAATTTGGACTAGAAACTTTTCTCTAAAAATAGTTATTAGGCTGAAAATAAGTATTTTTCCGTAACACTCTCCATTATAAAATATTTGTATTGATTTTATGAGGCATTTTTATAAATTAGATCTTCAAAGGGAATTAAGAGTAGGGTGTTATGAGAAAACAAGAAAACTGTAGTGCAGAAAGAGACGCTGATTTCTCATAAGACTCATAACACAGCATTTCCTTTTCCTGCGAGTCAGGTCCCAATTTAATGAAGAGCATGTGGGCATTTTCCCTTTATGACTAACAGCAGACAAGGGCTTCTCTGTGCAGTTCTGCTCTTTCTAGAGACCTTTGTGTCTGGCCATAGGTGACAAACACGTGGTATTTGTTCTTACCTGGTCAAAAGAGTCCTATTTAGGTAGATAATCTTCAGATTCTCTTTCCAAACTTGAAACTTCACATAACACATCATTTATTTATATGCAGAGAAAACTGACCTGTCAAAAGACTTTGACTTGTCCATGTGTGGCCAGCAAATTCCATCAGGGTCAATGAACCTTTTCGAGGAGTATCTAACTGTTAGAAGCAAAATAAAATAAGGGGTGAGCTCTATTGTCTCAGGTATTTTTTCAAACAAGACTCTTTTTTCTTAATGTTTATTTATTTTTGAGAGAGAGAGTATGTGAGCAGGGGAGGGGCAGAGAGAGAGGGAGACACAGAATCAGAAGAAGGCTCCAGGCTCTGAGTTGTCAGCACTGAGCCCGACGCGGGGCTTGAACCCACAAACTGTGAGATCATGACCTGAGCTGAAGTCGGATGCCTAACCGCCTGGGCCCCCCAGGCAGCCGATACTATTTCAGATATTTTTTAGAAGTCAAATTTTAGGTTAACAGACGACCTACCCGAAATGTGTGGGTTGTGCTGGGTCTTGAAAACTGTTCTATGGTCAGATATCTTTCTCGAAGAGGTGAGCGTTCTAAACTGTCAGGTACTGCACTTAACACACGGTTCTGCGGATGCCTCCCTCTGTACTAAACAAAGGATAACATGTTTTGGTTTCAAGTAAATGCATTCCTTAAAAAGACAAAAGAAGATTTCTTTCTTTGTGCTTTAACCATTCACTCATTTATTCATCCATTCATTCCCTTACTTGAAACTTCTATGTAGATAGGCAAGTATAACATCTATCAAGCATAAATGTCCAAATATATTTTGATTATATCGTTTTTTTATTTAACCTGAGAAAACAATAGTGTCTTAATAGATAAACCTAATAGAAAACCTAAAAGATAAACCACATAATATTCTCAATATTAAATTATAACAGAAATTTTGCATTTATGAAGCCTCTGACTTTTTTATGTGATGTCTGCCTTCTTTTACGATTTTACTCTAAGCCACAACATTCTAAGGTGACACACGAAAGCTGTGCAATTCTTGCCTTTCTAGGAATGGATTCTACTGCTGTTCTCGAGGACGTAAAGGAATGCAAGAGGAAACACTTCGTCAGCTTTTCTCCTTAGGCCTTTATGTTCCCACAGCTGGGGTCGTTCGATGTTTTATGAAATAGGGACACATTATTTGTACGGGAGCGAAGTGGGGAGTCTCTGTAACCATGGGGGGAAACCCGGTTATGCACACTAGCAGCCCCAGACCTTCCCCAGACCTTCCGCCATCGAGTGGCTGGGTGGAGCCTGGGTGTAGACACTCCCCCCACATGGCAACAGACACGGTGCACATTAGCTGTAAAAAGGAGAGCTCAGAAAAATGGCTGGGGCGTTCTACTGAGCTCTTACTTTATGCAGGCACTATTTCCCAATTTCCCGTGCATAAATTCATTTCATCCTTTGAACAGTCCTCTGAGGGAGGAATCACAGTGGCCCTTTTACAGGTGAGAAAATAAAGGCATGGGAAGGTTAATTTCTACTAAATCACACAGTTTGAGTGGCAGGGTTCAAACACAGATCTCCCTGCTTCCTGACCCGACCTTCATGCTATTGTCTTTGCAATACCATCCTGACTATCAGATTTGCTTTGACACCTGGACTTTCTTTTTTTTTTTAATGTTTTTATTTATTTCTAGGAGAGAGAGAGAGAGAGAGAGAGACGGTGTGAGCAGGGGAGGGTCAGAGAGAGAGGGAGTCACAGACTGAAACAGGCTCCAGGCTCTGAGCTGGCAGTCAGCACAGAGCCCGACGCGGGGCCCGAACCCACGAACCGCGAGATCATGACCTAAGCGAAAGTCGGCCGCTCAACCGACTAAGCCACCCAGGCGCCCCGACACCTGGAATTTCTGATTCAGTTCAAACCGTGTTTTTATTCCACACAACAGTAAATTAACCCTCCCACCTCCCGTCAGTTCTGGCATGCCAGTTACTCTCAGGAAGCAGTTTATGGAGACATTTCACGTTACGGAGTTCATTCACAATTGCCCAAATTATATTGTGTGTGTTCGTTTTCCAGCAGACAACCTAAATGGTGCGCTCAAATATAATGAAATCTGTCTTACAGGAACAGGTTGAGATCCGGGAACTGCCACCTTCTGCTCACCAGTCTCTGAGCCTATGGGGGGTAACCTGCTCCGGGAGGCAGGGGCTGGTGGGGGGGACCCCCGGTCTATGCCGGTTTGCCTGTGAACACAACAACATGTAACTGAGCGCCGGGCAGAGAGAGGGGGAGAGGGGGATGGACCTCACCACGAAGCTCCTTGTCGGAACTGCTAATCGCAATTGCCTTTCCAAAGAAATGCTCACGCAGGATGAGCAGAGTGTCGGAAAGACAAATGTCAAGAGGACACGGACCACCAGCTCCAGTCACCTTCTCCTTGCTCAGCAGTGACCGTCGAGCTGTATGTACTGAGCGCTCAGCGATGCTAGTCCCTGTGCAGGAGATGGAAATAATTGAAGATCTAGTTCCTTCTCGTAAGGGGCCTATAAGTTACTGAAAACAAGATGAAAACCCATGAAGTTATTAGAGAACAGTGTAATCAGTTCATGTAATAAAGGGCTATGCTAAATGACTCTAAATATAAGTGCTGTAGAACTTTAGAGAACAGAGTAATGAATGAAGGATAAAATTAATCACAGAGGTGGAGGGCCTAGATGAGGAAAACTATAAAACCTTATGTAAGGTCACTAAAAGGAGATGCAAAATATATTCTTTGATGGGAAAACTAAATATTGAAAATGTCAGTCATCCCTACATTTTTAATAGATTTAATGCTATCAGGTTCAATGTGATACTTTTCGTTCTTGAATTTGACAATCAGATCATAAAGTTCATCAGGATGGGTGAGGAAAGGTCCAGAAGAGACATTCCCCGCCAGACCCTGACCTGGAAAGATTGTCTGGTTCATGCACAAGAATAGAGAAGGATATTCTATAGTAAGATTCTAATTCATTGATTCATTAGTAATCAAGTTATGAAAATTAAAATATGACCATATTGGCTATCAAGTTTTTAAATACACCTACTACCCATAGTTTAGAGGCTGCATAGAAACAGTTTCCCACCAGTGGGACTATTAATTGTTAGAACCATTTTGGGAAGAGCTTTGGGAAAATATGTGAAGAGTCACAAAAGTACCCATAATCTTTGACCTGGTAGCTTTACTTCTAGGACTGTACCAACAGGGAAAACAATTTCAAGACATCCTTACTAGGATTTATATTGTACATCTGAAACTAATATTATACTGTTTGTTAAGTAACTGGAATTTAAATAAAAACTTAAAAGATTTATAGAAAATGATGTCCACTGTACATTATAATAGTGAAAATATAGAAGAAAGGAAAAGTTTCAGTAATAGGGGAAATATTTAATAAATTCCCACATCCCCATATGTTATTTTCCAGTCATTAAAATCATGCTTTCAGAAATACTTAACACCGTGGAAAACAGGAATCATATTAAGTGAAAAAATATGAAAAAAGCTGTAATAGTAGGATAATGTAGTGTTAGAAAAAAAGATAAGGGAAAGTAAAGAAGAAACGTATTCATAGATAAAATCAGTAGTAAACTTATCTGCAGTTAGCATTTTTATATTTCTATGTGTTCGGCATATGGTGACCTTTGACGCCCACTCATAGTCTGGGTACTGCTCTCATGTTCTACTGTGAACTTGTCGTACTTTGATAGAAAAAGCAGGTTACTTTAATAGAAGTAAAAGAGCATGAACAAAATCCCCATGAAGTAAGGACCAGTGTAGCTGGTGTGTTTGTGGGTCAGAGAGAAGGCAAGGCTGACCCCAGTCAAGGAGGGTGGTGAGAAGTAATGGGAAACAGGTATGCATAATCAAAGATGGTGACGTTGCCCCAAGCAAACATTGGTTATTGGTGGGACAAACAATCCCTTACTTTTTTTAATGCATAAAACACAGATATAAAGAACAGTACATAGACTGTACAGTAGATTTGTCTCATCCTCCATAACATGTGGTGTTTGCTTTACCAGCAGAGAAACAAGACTTACAGTTTTGTTCCCCTAAGAACTTCGTCACTGTACACGTTGGGGGTTTTCATTCTCTGAGAGTCTGAAGTAAGAGAAGGCAGCCTCGTATGCGCAGCTGTTTTCCTCGTGGAAGCGTGGAGTCCGCGAGCATCTGAGACACGTCCCAGACGGTGCCGGGCCAAAGACGGAGCACTGGCCCCCACGCCCAGTGATTTGTCTTCTTGCTCATTCCTGGGGGGTGGAAGTCAAGTTCATTACTCAGCTGTAGGCATTAGGTGAGCAGGGCACAGATAGATGTGTCCTTTAGAAGGCACTGTCTAGAATAGTGCCTAGCTCAAGAAGATACTTCTAAATATTGGCTGAATGCATGGACAGACTATCATTTCATTTCAATTTTAGTTTCAGTGAAGAATCATCCAGAGGAAAATAAGATCTAAGGTTCTCACTGACTGCAATCATATAGTAGAGCCCGGAAGATGAAGAATTCACAGCTATCTTCCTCTTACCTATCGACCCTAACCTAATACCAGTCATTCTGTGGTTGATATTAGAGCAGTGCATTTTCTTTCTTACACATGGCCGCATCCTTCCCTGAACGTGCTCACGCACACCCAGAGCACGGGCTTTTGCCGTCTTCATGCTCAGGTGTATCCAGCATAGAGAACAGGCTGGGTAAGTATTTCGTATACGTACTGTGTTCTATCTGCAAAATAGGTAGGTCTCTGCTGAAGCGGTTTTGCTTGAATTGTCATCACACCACTCAAATCATTGTAAAAATTGTTGGAGAAGCGGTGAATCTGAGAAAGGTAAAAACAGTAGACGTTAAAAGCACCCAGTGCCTCTGCAAGCACTGGCGGCCGTCGGGAAGCAGCAGGAAACAAACGGCACACCCCAATAGGCTAATGTGAGGAAAAGTTTTCTTTCTTTTCTTTAATTTTTTAAAAATATTTACTTATTTTTGAGAAAGAGAGAGAGAGACAAAGTGCGAGTTGGGCAGAGAGACAGGGAGACAGAATCCAAAGCAGGCTCCAGGCTCAGAGCTGTCAGCACAGAGCCCGATGCAGGGCTCAAACCCACGAACCCTCAGATCATGACCTGAGCAGAAGTCAGATGCTTAACCGACTGAGCCACCCAGGTGCCCCCGAGGAAAAGTCTTAAGAGGGAATATGCTTTATAAAGATGTGGGAAGAGAAATGACCAGGGAATCACTTAATTTCCCAACATGATGTAACAACAGCACAGTAGGGGCTCATTACCACTTGTAAGCTGGACGTGGCAAGAAGGGAGGGAGAGGTTTCTGGAAGCCGGAAAGGGTAGCTGCAGGGAGAAATGTCACCAATCCCTGCGACCTGTTAGAGAGGCCAAGAGAGAACAAATGTCCCACCGTTCTGCTGAGCTCCGAGAGCTATGGGGCAAGGGAGCCCTCCAAACAGCCAGTATGCGGCAGCGGCCAGGGCACGCCATGGTGAAGAAGGCAGAGAGAGATTCTGGAAAAGTAAAGAAAGGGTACCCGGCTCCTAACTGGGCTGCTGCCAGAGGAGGTCTTCACAGCCTGAGGAAGGTAGCTGCCCAGGGCCGGCACAAGAGCCTAGGAAAAAAACCCAAACACCAGATCTCAAAGGCTTACGTTTGAATCCCAATTCTAACCCCTTCCTGACTGGTGGTCTTAGAAAGCTTACTTTGTTCTTGGGAGTTCTAATTTCCTGATCTTTAGGTTGAGGATAATGATACATACTTTGTCTGAGAGTTAAGTTAAATAGCACAGGGAAAGAATGAAGTAAGGGCTAAATAATCCTGAATTCTCTATTTGGTCACACAATATGACCAACTAGCAAGTAAAACAACATTGTATCCGGCAAACAGGATTTCCGAAACTAGAATTGTATTCTAGTTCAAGATTAGATGTGGCAACCACAATCACATTTAGCCCCCATGCTGAATATGTAAAAAAAAAAAACATGTTAGCGGAATAAATTAAAACCTATTGTAACTACCGCCAGAACACTTTGACTATTCCAAAACAGGCTCTAATGATACTTTATTTTCAACTTTGTCATCCATTCATTTCCTTTTAACATAGATCCAAATGAAAACAATGAATCAGCTGTAAAAAAAGAAAAACATTTCTGAAACCCATTAAAGCCATGAAAAGAGGGTTGCCTGGGTGACTCAGTCGGTTAAACGTCTAACTCTGGATTTCAGCTCAGGTCATGATCTCACAGTTCATGAGCTCGAGCCCCACATCGGGCTCTGTGTTGAGCCTGATCAAGGTTCTCCGTCTCTCCCTGCCCCTCTCCTGCTTGCACGCTCTCTGTCTTCCTCAAAACTAAAAAAAAAAAAAAAAAAAAAAAAATTAAATCTATAAAAAGAAAATACTTCTAAAAAACTCCTTAGATTGATGTTTCCGTATTTTGCAACCTTAGTTCTATTTTGCCTGACACGTCTAGATTCTTTTCTACATTGTCATCAGCTGCCCATTTTGATGCGATTCATACTGAATATTTGAATATGCAAAGTGGGAAACACTGCTGAACCTCCCAGAGCAGTTTAAAAAGACCAGAAAAAAATAAAATAAGCGGGAGCAATCCCAAAAGTTTATTTTGACAGGCAGAAGCAAAGACGTCTTACCGCAAAGCCCTTACACTACAGAGTAAACCAACCCTATTAGATATTTCTATGTTAAATAACTGCTCCCTGAACCACACATCCTGTTCAGGCCTGTGTTCTTTTACACTTGGTGATTTGCTCCTCTGCTAGGTGCATATTTTTGCCTCTGCCTTGAATATCTTCCCTTTTCCCTTCAGCCTTACCAAACCCTCCGTGTCATTTAGGATTGAATCATGCATTACTCTACTTTATGGAGGGTGTGCTACTTCTCCTCTGAACCTCATGGCGTTCATGAGCTAAAGGATATCAACTTACAATATATGATGTGATGCGATGTGACGTGATATATGATCTGATATACAATTTGCATCTGGTTATAATGGAAGCCAAGGCTATTGAGTGCTTACTCTCTACGATGTACTCAACATCTTATCTCCTTTGCTTCTCACAGACTCCTCACAGATCCCATAGATAATGAAACTGAGGCTTTAAGGGACTGATTCAAGATCACAGAGCTCGTAAATTGTGCCACTGGGCCGGACACTTGTAGTTCTATGGCTCAAACTCTCATCTACCCTATTATCTACTGACTGCCTCATCTTGCCTGGGCGCATGTGTGCGTGCAATACTGTTTATCCTGGCTTGACTCCCTCCAGCTAAACTGCATGTACCTCAAGACTAGGAATCCTGTCTTACCCTCTTCATCTGCTTCCCCTCCCCCGGCCACACAAGACAAGCTGTGCAAAACATAAAGTCCAGGGGCGCCTGGGTGGCTTAGTCGGTTAAGCGTCCGACTTTCGCTTAGGTCATGATCTCGCGGTTCGTGGGTTCGAGCCCCGCGTGGGGCTCTGTGCTGACTGCCAGCTCGGAGCCTGGAGCCTATTTCAGAGTCTGTATCTCCCTCTCTCTCTGACCCTCCCCTGCTCATGCTGTCTCTCTCTCTCCTAGAAATAAATAAAAATATTAAAAAAAAAAACACACATAAAGTCCAAACTCTTCAGTGTTACTGAATGTCTCCCATGGACAAGATCAGCCTTTCCAGCCTCACCTTCCACTAAGGAAGCAATTCAAGAAAATGTCCTGAGTGCCTAGTTCACACCAGACTCTTCCTTAGGAACCCTCACCTATTTATAAGATTTTATCCTGACAGCAATACCTTGCACAATGTATTATCATCATCATTCCCCAGATAAAGGGAACTAAACTTCGGAAAAGTTAAATGACATGTCTACAATAACTCCCCCATAGGTTCCTGGCTTTCAATACTCTGGTCTTGACCCAATGCCCCTGGCGGTCCCAGCTTCCTCGCCTCTAATCCCACCCCGTCCAATCACTCTTCTCTACACACACCCCTTCCACCCCCCCCCGCACCATGCCTCTGCTTGCCCCGAAATGACCCAGGCGGATTTCCTACCCATGCAAGCCCTACTTGTTTCTTTCCATTTCTACTCAAATTTCACCTCCAACCTAAAACATCAAGACTCCAGCTCCAGTCAGGATGAATCGTTCTCTCCTCTATTCTTCTGAGGTCTTGTTTTGCACAGACCTGACACAATGTATTGCATATGACTTGTATTATGCTTTTCATTCTACTAGATCCGGGACTATGCTTTCATGTATATGGTAAACACAACTCAACACGCCTAGTATGGTGCACTTAATGTAAACTCATTAAGGGTTGAATGGATCCAATATACTGGCTTTTTTTTTTTTTTTAATCATTTTGGAGGGAAGACCAGAGAACATCTATAACCTTCATATTGGTTATAAATGTTGTGGAAAAGTAGTTTTTCTCTTTAAATATATGGAGGGGCACCTGGAAGGCTCAGTTCTTTAAGTCTCTGACTTCAGCTCAGGTCATGATCTCCCTGTTTGTGAGTTCGAGCCCTGTGTCGGGCTCTATGCTGACAGCTCAGAGCCTGAAGCCTGATTCAGATTCTGTGTCTCACCCTCGCTGCCCTTCCCTTGCTCTCTCTCTGTCTCAAAAATAAATAAACATTACAAAAAATTTTTAAAAGTAAAAATAAAAATATGAAAATAGCTCTACAGCTCAAGGCAGGTGGGAAGGAAGTCTCAAATCTGAGTGTCTCTATTCTATTGAAGAATATGGTGGTGCTACTAAACCCTATACAAAAATTATTTTTAAATTTTAGTCCAATCAACAGACCCAAATACTTGATATTAGAACAGCAGACACTCTGACATAGAGGCCAGACACAAAACTCTTAAAGAGAGAGACTGGTAGAAAAACATGTACCTGAGGTGGATGAAGATGAGAAGCCAGGGATATACTTCGGGCTTCAGAGCTTCTGGATGGGGGAACACTCAAGGCATCAGTGTTCATACGAGAAATGAGCGTAAGTGGAGATTTATTCTCAGCTACTTTCAATTTTTCTTTCTGTTTCTTTCCTTCTGGGTCAATGACCAAAAAAATCAATATTAGGAAACATATTATCTAATATAGGTACTTAAAATTCTCTAAGAGAATATTCATTCTGAGTTACAGTGAGTCTGCGATGGCCACTGGACCGTGTAGAACACACAGACCCCACAAAGCAATTGTCTGATATGACGCTTTCCGCACACACATTCTATCATTTCAATGGTAGGTGGAAAGCGAGGGATTATGCACTGGGGCAAGAAAAATTCTTGCTATAGTATAATACCCCAACTAATCCAGAGATTGGGAAAAGAATATATTTAAATTAACATGGTCACTACCCTACTGATTACCTAACATTAGCCATTATTGTCCACCACTGACGTTCCTTCTTGACCTCAAGTCGTTCTGAGAACATTTTAGGAGGTTAAACGAAGTGATCGTTAAATCATCTGTGTGTCCAATTTACAAATAACGTCATGAACAATTAAAAACCAATATCCTATTATTAGAGAAGGCTCCCTATTATTAGAGATTTTTAAAGTGACTTTTAGCTTCTTTCTTGTATCATCCTATGTTAGTGTTTCAGAAGTGCATACATGTTATTTTTACAACTCAAAAAATAATAATGTCCTTTTCGAAAGGATTAAAGATCACTTGTGAATGAGGGCGGAAAACCTACTTCCCTTCTCACCCAATCACATGCCAGGTGTGGCCAAGCTGGGTGGGGGCACATAGCTGGGCAACGGGGGTCTTTTTTTTTTTTTCCTTTTCATGAGGGTCACATGCTACAAATAAGTACCTGGGAGCGTAGCTTCCCAATGTTTTCGAATCAGCTCTTCGAATAGTTCTACCACATCTGTCCAGACACGATCAAACACTCCCGCAGCCACCGCGTCTCTGATACAGTCATGAGGAGAAACAGGAGGAAGTCCGTGTTTACGCCACATCCTATGACGATGAACTGATTTTTGTTCAGGACATTCATCATCCCTAAGAACAAAACCCAGGTAATTACTAAAAGTATCAGCGGTTAAAGTCAAAACAGTGCTATCTATCTATCCATCGATCCACCCACCCATCCAACCATCCATCGACCTACTATGCATGTATATTACACATATATGAATGAACATACCATTGTTTTATTTTTAAAAATTTTTTAATGTTTTATTTATTTCTGAGAGAGAGAGAGAGAGAGAGAGAGAGAGAGACAGTGTGAGCAGGGGAGGGTCAGAGAGAGGGAGACACAGAATCTGAAACAGGATCCAGGCTCTGAGCTAGCTGTCAGCACAGAGCTCAACATGGGGCTCGAACCCACGAACCGTGAGATCATGACCTGAGCCAAAGTCGGATGCTTAACCAACTGAGCCACCCAGGCGCCCCCATACCATTCTGTTTTAAATACCACATTGTGTGTTTAAAACTTTTTAATGCTACCAGTTTTTAATCACGAGGCAAATTTTTATTATTCAATATCTGTAACTTCTATCTAAGAACCAATTTAAGTCTCAGCATTTAGTGCAGAAACAGGGCCTTCCTCTTTGCCCTTCTGGACAGCCTGGAGGCCTCAGGTGGCCCTGTCCACTTTCATCAGCATGCTGAACACACACCCTGTGTCCTATCTGTGCCATAGGTCAAAGCAGAAAGGGAAGCGTGGATCTACCAGACATATCCTCTAAGGAATCTAAAAATTTGGGGGAGTCTATGACTCTCAAAAAAATGGAAAATCTTTTGGACAAGTAAAAACAACACAAAACACCAAATGAAAGGATAATCAAAATAAATGCCAAGTAAGTTAACATTATTATACTAGGCCAATGTCAAATAAATTCTAGTTACTCTTCTTTTCTGTCAAAAGCAAAATATTCTTCAATCTTTCCATCCACATCATAAATCTCTTCTTCCAGGGGTGGACACGCCAGCAGGTCAGCAGGCCGTGTGCAAGCGGGGCCCAGGAGGGCAGAGGCGGGACACACCGCTGGGAGTATCTGAGAGCCAGAGACGCACAGCCTGTGGGGAAAGAACAGACCCTCCGTGAGAGTGTGCAGAACATCAAGAATACGAGGCTTGGATGATTTGGACGAGTCTTTAAATTATCCACAAAGTACAGATTCCCAAACAAACAAAAATCATTGATTATTACATTTGATGAAAGTCATATCCTTAAAAGCAACATTTTAACACAGGCATCATTCAACATTTTAAGGGCCTTTTAAAAGCTTCACTTACTCTAGGCGTTTGAACCCCCTTGGCTGAAATGAAAAGATGTCACAGCACAGTCCCAACTATGTGTGACTGGCATAGTAAGATCTAAACCTGTTGGCAACCAAAAGAAAACGGGGTAGAGATTTATTTCTTCTGCTATTGTGTTGGAGCTTGGGATCCACCACAGGGGTCAGCTTTTGGTTTTGCATCTAGCCCGCCTTTCTGAGTCTTTGAAACAAAAGTTCAAACGTTAACTCCCTTGATATCTGTATTACACTCATCACCATCATCACCATTGTCACTATCAACTTAGAATGAGAAGCATCCTGTGAAAAGATGCTCTGCCCCAGCCCCTCACTGAAATCTAAGCTTCCAAATCAGTGGAGCCAAGGCTCCTGGCAAAGATAGACATGAAAAGTATAACTAAAATGAAATGAAAAAAAAAGGGGGCACCTGGATGGCTCAGTCAGTTAAGCATCTGACTCTTAGTTTCAACTCCGGTCATGATCTCAGGGTTTGTGAGTTTGAGCCCTGTGTGAGGCTTCATGCTGGCAGTGCAGAGCCTGCGTGGGCTTCTCTCCCTCTCACCCTCTTTCTCAACCCCTCCCCAGCTTGTTCGCTCTCCAAATGAATAGACTTAAAACAAATAAAATAATAAAAATAAATATAAATGAAGAAGTACCACTAAAATGAAATTAAAAGTACTTTCGAAAGTAACTTATAGGCACCTACTCTCTGCTGTCGTGGTTGCATCCGCAGGCATCCAGGAAGGGCGTGTGGACCACGGAACTCAGCTCGTTGCCCTGGAAATGTTGGAACCCTTCATCAGTTGGCACTATGAGCTGCCTTCCTAATACTCTGAGAAGGGGAAGAAAAGAAAAGAAAAAAAAGAAAAGAAAAGAAAAGAAAAGAAAAGAAAAGAAAAGAAAAGAAAAAAGAAAAGAAAAGAAAAGAAAAGAAAAGAAAAGAAAAGAAAAGAAAAGAAAAGAAAAGAAAAAGAAAAGAAAAGAGAAAGAGAAAGGAAATTATTAATATTTTTGATCAGAGAAAGGAAGACATGTTTTGCAATGCTGAAAGTCAGATGAAATGGCATTTTGAAGGCGTGTATGAAGTGACAAGGTACATGCTGGTCCATGAGAAGCACGATGGTGCCACAGAACAAGCCGGGGCTGTGAGGGAGCAGGACAGACTGTTCTCACCACTGATGAAAAGATCTGAGGCAAAGTTCTTGGGCTCTCTAAGCCACAGATTTCATCGGTTTGTTTTTTTTGTAGGAAAGATATAATAATAGTTACCTGTAGGGCTGATCGGTGGCTTAGAGATGACAGATTCAGACGTCTAAGGTAATGCTGGGCTCTCACAGGAGCTCTCTATGCTTGCTAATATCTACATAATGAATAAAACTATATAAATATACACACTGGGCTTACATTCTCTGCAGTCTTTCCTTTTTCCACCCTGCCCTCCTTCATTTTCATCTTAATTATTTAAAACAGAACGGGCAGGGCCAGGTCCGAGCTCCTGGCTCTTCAGTAAGTGCCCCACGCCTAGAAAAGTAAGCACCCGCAATGAATATTCGGTGGCCGTACTATACTCTTCAAGACACAGGGCTGATGAAGGACTGAAGAGAGAAGACTTAAAAACTACTGAGTAAATATTTCTTTTAAGTTACCTAGTTGAGGTAACCAAAGAAAATCTCTCTATATTTGTGTGGGGAATAAGCTTAGCAATTCCCTGAGGCTGCACCCATGGGTTAACAAGGCATAAAGAATTGGAAAGCCATAGGATGTTCACACCCAAGTTTGGGTAAAGGAGATTAGGTAAATAGGTATAGGTAAGGCAGGGCAAAGGCCCCCCATATAGGCCAAAGGTATATGAGGTGAAGAAGATTAGGCATTCGGGGTGGAAACACCCCCCTAACTTAGTACAAGAGCAGAAAGCCGCTTTCACAGGAAGGACCAAATTAGGTAAACAGGTAAATAGGGCTATAGAGTGGGGCTAATTAGCAAAAGAAAGGTGCCTTGTTGCTGGGAGCCACACCCGCTTCACTGGATGACAGTCAAAGCGAGGAAATGGCAGAGTTTGCACAGCCCCTGCCATGAGAAACGAAAACTGTTACCTCCTTCTACTACTGGCTCATGTTGGAAATGAGCCTGCTGGTATTGACCAGGCCTCACAATATTCCAGATCACACCGATATTCCCCACACAGATTCCTCATAAGGAAAAGCATATTCCTGCCTTTTCAAAAGAGATTTTAGATGAAAGCATTGTGGATGATTGTCAAAAGGCTCTTCCTATGGGCCTTGCAGATCCAAGACTGAGATAATAAAGGGGGTTAAGAACACAAGAGTTACAATTGAGCCTGGACCCTGAGACAAAGAGCCTAATTTAGGGCAGAACTTAAGTTAATACTTATACCTTTTCTAACTGGTGATGTATGGCAATCCCTTCGCTAAGGCCTACTTTCTGCAAACACCTTCCCTTACACTGGCGGCTGGGATGAGGATAGATAAGAGTAGCTAAAACATAACCTAAAAACAAGGCCGACACATTTAGGGCCTTCATGGTGTTTACACATGCAGCATCAAGTCAAAAAGGTTTCCACAAACAATTTATTAACCAGCTCAAAAACACTGGTCCTCTTGTGAGCCAGACAGAATGACTCCTGGCCTATCTATATACAAAGTAACCTATGTGTTGGGAGCCGTTTCTGAGCTCAAAGGTTGAGAAAGAACCTCCCTAGGAGGTTAAGGTGAGTTGCAGGGACTCTTACTGATCAGAGGGCGGCAGATATCCACCCGCACCCAGTTGTTTCGGCTTGGAGCACCAACCCCCAAGGCGTCTTGTGAGTGACTAATTCTGGCCTTGAATATGCTGATTGCACCCTGTGAAGGAACCTATTGTAGAAACTTCTTCTTTTGTAAATATGGAAGCAAACAATGTGTTACCTGAAAAAACTGTTTTTCTTAATACTTCTCCTTAAACAAACAAGCTATTGACCCCTGCTCACAGAGAACTAACTTCACCCCTTTTATGCTAAAAACATTGTCTTGTATGCTAAAGGACCTTCCTTCCCCATAGGAGAAGCATCTAAATCCCCTACCTCAATCACTATTGATAAAGGTTATGCGTGAGTCTTCTACAAATCTACGTTCCCGGATATTCTTACATATCAAAGAAATTTGTCATCAGAAATCATGGTCAAAGGCAAATGCCACTCCTGTGCAATCCCCCAAACACTTAATTATAAAATAAAGTTAAGCCCCAGTCAGAGCCGAGATGCCTGCCTGGTGACCAGAAAGATTCTCGTGGCTCCCTCATTCCCTCCCTCGCCGACACCGTCCCTGATCCTTCAGGGACGCCTGGACCAGGAGGATCCAGCCTCGGGCACCTTGTTGACCCTGCGGCAGCATGCTGTCTTTCTTGTCCCCTAGACCAGTTTAGGTAAACCGAGGTGGTGCCTCACATTTGCTATAAACACCGGTGCCAGGATTTTGTTTTGTATTGACCCAAAGCCCTAACACCGCCTATCTTCAAAACCCACTTTCCCTCACGTCCATGAAATGATGTTCACAATTGCATTGTCTCTTTGCGCACATCCATCACCATGTCTGTGAGCCTTCGGATCCTAACAAAAACGGAGCAAGGACCCTTAATCGGGGTACTTGTCTCCTCCTGTACATTAGCCTCTCTTGCATTTTCAATCCTGCGTCAGGCTTTCTTGCCGGACAAGAAAGAACTCCAGACCCAGAGTCTACCACACATTTGTAGGGGTGTTCTAATCTATTCTCCCCAGATATAATACAAAGGAACTTCACATAACTGAGATGAATTTTTCTCCTATGAGCATCTGGCTGAATAACTGAAGGAAGAATAGCTTTCCTTCACACACAATCTATATTCTCCAGCTTTCCTATTCAAAACTAAGCTATCCTGGGGCACCCAGGGCACTCCGTGGTTGAGCATCCGACTTCAGCTCAAGTCACGATTTCTCCGTTTGTGGGTTTGAGTCCCACATCGGGCTCTGTGCTGACGGTTCAGATCCTGAAGCCTGCTTCAGATTCTTTGCCTCCCTCTCTCTCTCTCTGTCCCTCCCCCACCTGTACTCTCTCTGTCTCTCAAAAGTAAACATTAAAAAAAAAGCTTTCCTTTATCAAAAGGAATCTTGATGAGTTAGTAAAATCCAGCTAATTAATTACTCAGCAAATAATCACTCTGTTCCTCCCCCACTCCGACCCCAAATACTGTTCTCAGCTCTGAAGGCTGACGTGCTGCTCACAAACATGAAAGGTAAAGGGTCATTTCTACTGTTTCTCTATTTATCACATATGCAATGTTCTTCGAAGAAATGAGCTACATTTGCCTCTCACAAATCAGAATGCACCTGGGTTTTGGAATGTCCCAATATTTCCTCAGACACTATTTCAAAGAATGTGCTTTCTCAGTAAAGACGTGTATCTGGATACATATTCTGACCGGGCAATTGCTTTCAGTCAAAATATACAAACTGTATTAAACAGGTCAGGAGTGGGTGGTTCCAAAACCCATTTCAGAGAATGACTGTGAACAACTTGCGTACCTCAGATGGAGGGATCTTCTGGCCCACTCGCTGCATTCAGCCACTAGATTCTGAGTCTGAGGGCTTACTTTCCCTTCGAATAACATTTCTTCCACCTCCCAGAATAACTGCTGTACTTTCTGTGCATTGGCTTTGTCAAACTCCTAGAACAGAAATGCACATTCGGTTACAAGACTAAAAATGGCAGAACTACGATGGGCGCCTGGGTGGCTCAGTTGGGTAAGTGTCTGACTTTGGCTCAGGTCATGATCTCACAGTTTGTGAGTTGGAGCCCCACGTGCTGACAGCCTGGAACCTACTTCAGATTCTATGTCCCTCTCTCTCTGCCCCTCCCCTGCTTGCACTCTGTCTATCTTTCTCTCTCAAAAATAAACATTACAAAAATAAAAAAATTAAAGTCGCAGAACTATGGCCTTCATAATCAGTAACACAAATTGAAAGTGCTCATTATATAGAAGGCGTAAAACATGATAACAAGAACGTGGACTTTGCAGTCACAAACACACCAGTGGCCCAATTTTTACTCTTCTGATAAATTACATTCCACTGTGAGACTCTGCTTCTTTAACTGTTAAACAGAGATCATCTCCACCACATGAGCTATGAGACTTGAGATTATACACAGATATACAGGTAAAGGTGTACATACTGACAGACACTGATACACTCACACACACACACCCCCATATGTTTATGCACACAACACATATATATACACAGACGTATGTCCCTCATATAGCTGGGCGTGACACACCTACATGTATCTGTAAAATGCCACCTAGTTTGTTCTTCTGATGATGATTCCACTGAAAAGGAAAACGGCTTTTATAGAAAGGGCCATGTACCTTCTAGGGGCGTCTGAACCTGAAGTCTAATACACACTCAAGAACAGCAGGGGCACATTCACTTTGATACACCTGATTAAATCTGGTTGATTTTTCACAGAACGCTATTCAGTGTTTTGTGCTGTGCTGCTTCCCTTAAACTGGTAACAAATTACATTCCCCCTACAGCAGAGGAGTTGAATTCTCTCTTTTAAAATGCACACAGGGTAAAAACTAATAATATTCGCCTCCCAGAAGGGGACTAGTGGACTGAGCCATGGAGAAAGGTTTACTTTCAATTTTCTCTCTTTTGGCTTTTGTTGCTTATTGCAAATATTGTATATCAAAAAAGTAAGTTAAATTTTTAAAATTATTTTTTAATGTTTGTCTATTTCTGAGAGAAAGAGAGACAGAGCATGACCAGGGGAGGGGCAGAGAAGGAGGGAGACACAGAATCCGGAGCAGGCTCCAGGCTCTGAGCTGTCAGCACAGAACCTGACACGGGGCTCAAACCCACGAACCGTGAGATCATGACCTGAGCCGAAGTCAGAGGCTTAACCAACTGAGCCACCCAAGCGCCCCAGTAAGTTAAAGTTTTTAAATGAAAAGCAACTGTAGGGCCTGATGTAATATCAACTCTTGAAATGGAAGTCACAAGAATCTCTGGATAATTACACGAAAACGTGTACCGGTAGAATTGCGGAATTTGGACGCTATGAAGCAAGGGTTCTCAGCCTTCTTCCCGCCTGCAGAGGCATGAAAGTGGGGTGGGGGGCTGCTCATCGCAGGTGCGGGAGCCCCGCCTTGTCTGAAAAGTCCTGAGTGACTGGGACCTGACTTTCCAGCGTCCCTCTCACCGCCGTGGGGAGCCCAGCTCTCTCCCACCCCCACAAGGAAGTGGACCCCATGTGCCTACCGAGTGGCCAACTGCTTTGAAAGAGAGCAAAGGAGACCAGGACACGAACCAAAAGACCGCAGAGCCAGCACCCAAGCCACTGAGTCTGTCCACTATTCTCAGGGGTGATGGAGGGGAGACTGAGGCCAGAGACTGTTGCTAGCCAAGCGCCCAACGAAAGCCAGAGCTGGAGACTCACAGCCAAGCATCCCCCTCCCAAAGAAAACAAAAATAGGTTAAAGTTACCAGCTTCTGTTGGGTTAGAGGTGAAAATAAAAGATGTGGTTTAGAATACGGGTGGGAAATTCCCTAATCACTGGTCATTTTGTTCAGTTTTCACTTTTCCACAAGTTTTCTAGTATATAAGTTCCTGACTGTCAAAGTCTGTCTTGAATTTCTAACCATAGACAGGATATGAGATCATTTGTAACATACAGAGGGGGAGGGTTGGGAAGTGGAAAACAAAACTAAAATTCTCAACAGCTATGATTCTGGGTTATGAGATAACGAGTGATTTTTATTTTTCCTAGTATTTTCTGTATTTTTAAGTTTTTCCATGTGACATGTAAATACATTCATACAGATGAATGTGGATGTGTGTAACAGATAATGCTTTCAAAATGGGTAAAAAAGTTATCTAAAAGTAATAAAACAGGGCACTTGGGTGGCTCAGTCAGTTCAGAGTCTGACTTTGGCTCCGGTCATGATCTCAGAGTTCGTGGGTTCAAGCCCCGCATCGGGCTCTGTGCTGGGACTCAGCCCTGCACTGGGCTCTGTCATGGAGCTCAGCCCCACATCAGACTGTGTGCTGACAGCTCAGAGCCTGAAGCCTGCTTTGGATTCTGTCTCTCTCCCTCTCTCTGCCCCTCCCCTGCTCTCTCTCTCTCAAAATAAATAAACTTAAAAAAAAAAAAAGAACTCTTGGGGTGCCTGGGTGGCTCAGTTGGTTAAGCTCAGGTCATGATCTCACGGTTTATGAGTTCAAGCCCCGCAATGGGCTCTGTGCTGACAGCTCAGGGCCGGAGCCTGCTTCGGATTCTGTATCTCCTTCTCTCTCTGCCCCTCCCCCACTCCTGCTCTGTCTCTGTCCCTCTGTCTCTCTGTCTCTCGCCTCTCAAGAATAAATATTAAAAAAAATTGTTTTTAAAGTAAAGAAAGCAATTCTTCATTATAAAGTATAATCACAGAATTCTACAAAATATTCTGAGACATACGTCATCTCTCCAAGAGTAAATGGAGCTCCTCTCCGTGGATAAGCCAGTGGTGGAACTTTGGGTCTCGGACCCCGACCACGAGTTGGGGGCCCCTGCAGGTGTGGGGCGGCCGCTTGATGCCAATGACAACAAGGATTCGCTGCAGAGACAAATGTGAGCAACGTGGGAAGAGGTTATACTGCAAGTGGTTTTGCTTCTCTGAGCTGCTTTTAAGACTGATTTTAAAACATTTATGCAGTGTAGCATTTCGCTACCCTAAAAATAAAACCTTTTTTTTTTTTTTTTTTTTTTACACTTTGAGAAACGCATGGCCCGTTACTGATTTTGCTTCCTATATTCATTATGGGCATGTTTTGATTTTGCAACCAGAAGCATTTAACAAGTTAATTCTTACCAGGTATATTTATCGATGGCTTTCTGCACTTTTCTTGTAAAACGTGTAGGTAAAGGATCTTTGCTTTTGACAACGAAACTGTGCTTTCCAGGTCCTTCTGACAGTCCTCTTCTGCAAAATAAAATAAAACATGAAAACCATCTCTAACGTAATAATAGAATTTTACTCATTAAGACTTTTAAAAGGTCCTTTGGCATAAAGTTGCTTCTCCCTTCTTGCTGTGACCCCCTAAACACACACATGTGCTCACACATACCATATTTCCGCAAGAAACTGAGGTCTAGGATCTTACCAGTTTTGTTTTTCTTAGAAAAAGGTTGTCATTAACCTATATGCCTCTTTACGTAAAATGGAAAAAAACACACACACACAACTTTTTGTAACTTAGCCAGACCGGTAAAAGTTGCCCCAAACTCTGGGCAGACGCAGCCTCACTCCAGAGCAAGTGAACCATGAGCTAGATTTCAGGGTCCACTTGTCCCCTGACCAGGTGCCTTTGTGATTAAAGAAGCCAACCAGCCTTCCAGGGAAAAACCTGATAATCCCATATTAACTCTGAAATATATTAAATTCTGTTGAATCCCCACACAAGTGCATGAATAGAAGAAATGAGTGAAACACACAAACAATAGCTCATTTTAGTTTGGTACCATTGTCTGGTTTGCTGCCTAATGTGGAGAGAGTTTTAAATATTAAAGTTAATGGAAAACTACAACAAAGGAAGAACTCTCTAAACTTTAAATAAGGTCCTAAACCTGACTGGTATAGGAAAGCTAGTGTTAATCATTAAAATGCCCTTACAATGAATCTCTTAAAACATTTACTTCCCTCTTAGTCAAAGTAACTTCCTAACGTTTAACAGTAAACAACTTCTATTCTTTTATAGAAATAATAGTTTCTCATACAAATAACTCCTATTTTATATCAACTGAAGATATGGCAGTGATTTGGGGGGGAAACATCAACTTCCAGTCTTTTTAACAGGGATACCACGGTAATACTAATTTAAAAAAAGTTTTCTGTGTCATCAATTAAAATGGTGCCTAATTTTCAGCATTTATATTGCTGGATGTAAACGGAGTTTTAAAAAATATTAATACAGATTGGGGCACCCGGGTGGCTCAGTGAGTTAAGTGTCTGACTTTGGTTCAGGTTGTGATCTCGCAGTTCAGGGGTTTGAGCCTTGCATCTGGCTCTGTGCTGATAGCTCAGAGCTTGGAGCCTGCTTCTGATTCTGTGTGTGTGTCTCTCTCTGCCCATCCCCAGCTGAGGCTCTGTCTGTCTCTCTCTTTCATAAATAAACATTAAAATAATTGAAAAATATTAATACAGAGAATAAATTCTGCCCTTAGTTATGAACCTATAGTACTCTACAACAAAGGGAATTTGAAAAACAAGTTAATTAGCACAAACAGAGATTAGCAAGGACCTCTGCCTTCCATACATATGTTCCCCATAAATACGAGACAACAGAATCATATAATTTTTTTCCCTCCTTATTGCTTATGTGTCTTAAGCACAATCAGGTGATTCTGAGAATAAAGGTGCTAAGAAAGAAGAATACAGGACAAGCTTTTACGCTAATCAACAGCTTTACCTTTGGCCTTATTCGGTTGCTTTTTTTTTTTTTTAATTTTTTAAAAAATGTTTTATTTATTTCTCGGGGAGAGAGAGAGAGAGAGAGAGAGACAGCGTGAGCAGGAGAGGGTCAGAGAGAGAGGGAGTGACAGACTCTGAAACAGGCTCCGGGCTCTGTGCTGACTGCCAGCACAGAGCCCGATGTGGGGCTCGAACCGATGAACCGCGAGATCATGACCTAAGCGAAAGTCGGACGCTTAACCGACTAAGCCACCCAGGCGCCCCTTTATTCAGTTGCTTTTCAAAACCACCAATTATTTATAATTTTCACGTGACTCAGTAACTCTTTAGATAAACATGATGCGTATGATGGAAAAGAGACAATCGACTAAACACACATCAGAGAGAACTGCTTTGAGCATTAAGAAAGAAATCCTAGTCTACAAGTTAATCTGCTTCTACTGAGAAATAACTTGAAACCTCAGGGTGGTGAATTAAATGAAACATGTTGCTTCATAATATCTATATAAGGATAGCACAGATGCATTAGAATCCCGCTCTGCCTCTGACAGGCTGTGTGTTCTGAGCAAGTTGCTTCTCGTCTCTGGGGCCCATCTGTAAAACAGTGCAAATACTGTTAACGTTTTCATACAGTTGTGAGATCTAAATCAGATTGAGCATGTACAGTGTCCACATCATCGGTGGTGGCTCTATCAGGTGGCCCTTGCTCACTGCTTACACTGTCATCACACATTACTCTCGGAAAACACGAAGCTGTTTCTTTGCACTTCCCGCAGCATTTTGTATTATACAGGCCCCTTCCCATCCCACAGCTTTTTACTTAGATCATTTTGACACTTTATTTTTTCCTATCAGTAGCACCTTAAAAGAATGCCTATCACATTGAGATGCTCTATGTTTGCTGAAAGAATCAACAATCAAAGATTAAATTAGAGAGTCAAATAGTGGATATGGTTTTACTCTGGAAGTTCATGTTTACACTACATTGTGACCAGACACGAACATACTCTTCAAATTCAAGACATTTCCGGAGAATTTTTTATCCTTCGTGAAGAAAGAAAATTCACAGCTCTTGGGATAACTGATAGCTACAAAAGTGACTTTTATAATGAATGGTTGCATAAAATGCTTTCTTGCTGGAAGACTGAATTCACTAATCAGATGCATGCCTCCAGAAAACTTCCTCCAGAAAATGGGCCTTTTTTGGGGAATTGGGGCGGGGGGTGGGGGTGGGGTGGGAGGGAGTCTTTCCAATCTAAGGAAATGATTTACAGAATGAAAGCACCAATTTCTCTCTTCACATAACACCATCTATTTTCTCCAGATAATATTCGTACTGACTTCGAAGTATAGCTGATGACAGATCTTCAAGATTCAGGGATTGGGTAAGTAGAGTGGCCGGATGGGTGGGGGAGGGGGATCTACTATAAAATGGATGCCCCCAACCACCATCTACTTCTACACTTTATCTCCAGATTTTTTTTCTCCTCTGGGCTTCGTGTCTCATCTCCTTCAAAAGTCTCTATATTTCTGTGGAACTTCTTGAACTTCAGAGTTCAGCGTAATAACATACACTTTTGACCACAGAGTTCAGAAATTCTGAAGGGGAATTTGAACCTATTAATTCAATGAATATCCAAAGTCACCAAGAATATAGGGATGGAGCTGCTCCCTGGACCCAGGCCATCTGACCTGTGACCCAAACTATTGACACTGTTAAGCAAAAACAGACTCTATACAATTTGCCTTTTGTTTTTTCTTTTTATGTCTTGTTTTGTTTTGAATCTTTGATTTCTCTCCTCTAACCAATCTTTATACACAACACTGAACATCTTTAATTTCCTGTAAACTATCAATTCCTATGTAAACTATGCAGTCTAAAAAAGGGTACAGGGCACCTGGGTGGCTCCGGGTAAGCATCTGACTTTGGCTCAGGTCATGAGCTCACAGTTCATGAGTTCGAGCCCTGCTCTGGATGATCTCAAGCTCCACTTCAGATAAGCCCTGCTTCTCTCTCTTTCTCTGCTGCTTACTCAATTGTGCTCTTTCTCTCTTGCTCTCTCAAAATAATAATAATAATAATAATAATAATAATAATAATAATAAAAGTGTACAGGATTTACAGCATGTGTCTTATAAATACCTTAAAACGTGAAAATGGTGGAACATCTATCAAGCTTTTATTACTTAATATATAGACATATAACAGTTTTAAACAAGTTTCTGTCTATACCACTTAGATTTTAGAGATGTTAAAAAACTGCTAATGCGTAATTTGGAAAGAGGGCCTGGCCCACTGAAGTGCACCCACGGAACTATATGGCCCTAATTTCCCGTGCATCAAATTTAAGGCTGAGTCCTAACCTCCACAAGTCACTCTTCCCAGTGCACAAGGTAATGACCCAAATACCTGTTTTTTAAAATGTTTATTTATTATCGAGAGAGAGAGAGAGAGAGAGAGACAGAGCATGAGCAGGGGAGGGGCAGAGAGAAAGGAAGACAGAATCCGAAGAAGGCTCCAGGCTCCGAGCAATCAGCACACAGCCATGTGTGAACTATGGGATCATGACCTGAGCCAAGGTCGGACGCTTAACCGACTGAGCCACCCAGGCGGCCCCCAATTTTTACTTTTTAAAACTTGCCTCTTGATGGCCCACCAATCTCTTTGCCTTGTAGAAATTCAATATTAAACAGTGACCAAAGCTCTCAAAATTTTGTATTTCTGCTTAAAAGGACCGTCTGAAACGAGCGCTGTGTTCTGAATGGGTTGAAACGAAGCCGGTTTTGTGGATGGGCCGCCTCTCACGAAGATGCTCTTGCCCTAAAACACCCGAGGCCGCCCCGACTTCAGACAAGCGAGGCCTAGAAGCAGCCGCAGCTCGCGGGGCCGCTGGGCCATCTGTCATCTCACGCTTCTCCGGGCAAGTGAGCGCCCTCGGCCCTGGGAAAGCTGGATGACGTCAGCATGAGAGATTTCATCAACGGGTCCAGGGACACGGCCCAGAAGGATCCCAGCTTTGCAGCCAGGGTTAACAGCACACACATGGCACGAAACTGGACACGGTCAAAAGTTCACCATCCCACCTCCCTTCCCCGATCGAGACTTACCCAATCACAATCAGCCCCAGGCCTCGGCTGGCGTCCCCGGGGCCGGGCCCCGCGCCCCGAGGCCTGGGCGCCTCCGGGCGCTGACATCCCGCGCGGGCCCCCTGCAGGCGGCGGGCGGCCCTGCGCCCCCGCGCCCCCGGGGCCTCGGCTCCGCGCCCGCCCAGCCCTGCGCCCCCAGACCGCTAGCCCCGCACAGGCAGCCGCGAGCCCCGAGCGCCGCGGCCGGAGGCGCTCCGGGCCGGGTCCGCGCGGCCCATGGGCGCGGCTGCTCGCGGGGCGCCCCGCACGGCTCCCCCTGCAGCCCCTGCGGCCCCGCACCGGCCAGATTCCGGCGCGGCGGGGCGACGCCTCCCGTCCCCTCCGCGCGCGCCCTTGGCCGAGGTCGGTCTGGGCAGGCGGCGGGT